TCCACAAATAGAGCTTTATCTTCCGGTCACACTGATGATACTTCGAGGTTTTCAGATATGGAGAACTCGAATGTGTACTGCACTTCCATCGAAATACTATTAGTTGTGCAGTGACCAATAGAAATGAAGTTATAGAGAAAACGACTTTCTTAGGGTAAATCAAGGGAAAGAGTTCAAACTTGAGCTGTATTCGGTCCCATGTCCTATTGGTTTGGCAACGCGCAATAGAAATCAACATTTTAAATAGTAGATTTTACAGTATAATTTTGATATTCAGACACACTCTAAAAAAAAAAGGAGTTTTACCGAACCCTCCAAAAAGGTTCCGTAGATGCTTAAAAGCTTCTAAATACGTTCAAACGCTTAAATAGATGATTATCAAAATCTACGAAACCTTAAAAGGATCTGGCCGCGGGTACACCGCCGGAACCATCTTCTACGAAACCCTTTTTAAGTTCCGTAGGGCGAAAAAAAGTTTCGTAAGAAAATACGAAACTTTTATGGTTTCGCAGTAGGGTTTTGGACGAAACCATAAGGTCCACTACGAAACCATAAAAGTTTCGTATTTTCTTACGGAACTTTTTTTCGCCCTACGGAACTTAAAAAAGGTTTCGTAGAAGATGGTTCCGGCGGTGTACCCGCGGCGAGATCCTTTTAAGGTTTCGTAGATTTTGATAATCATCTATTTAAGCGTTTGAACATATTTAGAAGCTTTTAAGCATCTACGGAACCTTTTTGGAGGGTTCGGTAAAATTCCTTTTTTTTTTAGAGTGCAGTCTAGGATGATTGATTTGTATAATTCACTTTTTGAAGTACACATAACTCTCGGATTTAAATCCGTAGTTTCCGCATTTATTTATTTTGAATCTGGTACAACAATTCGATACATTTTGAAACGCTCACAAGCAATTTTTTTAACCAACAATTTTCAGACGATTTCTCAGGTCATTTTTTTACTATCCATCGGAGTACTGAAACCTTTTATTTGTTGTATGTAAGGTAGTAGACCATTATTTTGTCTACCTGACCATTCATTTTTCAATGGGATTATTTTCTATCCTTTCTAAAAAAAAATTGTGTGATTCTCTGAAGAATGTTTTTGTGACATTTTTTTTCATACATGATTTTTCCCTTTTCCTCAAAGAAGTTTTGGTTGTTTCCACATTAAATTTTTTTTTCTTTGATATGTAACTGAGCAGAGTATCGATTTCTCTATCGACTTACGTAATTTTGATCAGATTAATATTCAGTCGTACAAGTGAATTTCGATGAAGGGTATGGGTGATGGGTGTGGCTGTGGGTGTGAGTGTGGGATGGGTCGGTGCGGGTATGGGTGTGGGTGTGGATGGGTGTGGGTGTGGGTGTGGGTGTGGGTGTGGGTGTGGATGTGGATGTGCATATGTTTTAGAATAAGACTCACATCTACACCCACACCCACACCCGCCCACCACCCACACCCGCCCACCACGCACACCCACCCACACCCCACACCCACCCACACCCCACACCCACCCACACTCACACCCCACACCCACACCCACCCATACTCACACTCACACCCCACACCCACCCACCCACCCACACCCTTTGTTTTTCTATTCATAAATTGTATCACGAGCAAATTTTTGAAGTTAAGAACGGCAAAATATTTTAATAAATGATCATTTAAACCACTTGCACTAAACTGGTCCATGGAACATTTCCGAACTCTTCAAAGGACGTATTACCTCTAAAAAGCTGATACTTCACCTTATACTCTCCAGGTTGATCACATTCAACTTGAATCTGATAAGAAGATGTTCCAACATCACCGTGTTTGATTTCAGTGCTCCAACTAAATATATACTCAATATCACAAGCAAATATCAGTTTCAAATGAAGATTGTTCAATGTATTCCAACCTTCATTTCGAATGGAAAAATTAACTGTGATAATATCTCCTTTGCTAACCAATCTTGGAAGATTATCGTCAACATAAGAAACAAGGTCATCATTATTTGAAGCATCTCCACTTAGATGAATTCTAGCAAGTAGAGCAAATGTATATGGATCAACGAAAGTAATATTAGGCTGTATTTGTTGAACTTTTTCAGCAATATCTGCATAGTTGGATGCACTGCGCAAAATACCTCGGAAGACTACGAATCTTACATCATTGGGTTTATAATATGAGAGTATTTGTTGTACTTCGTCTTTGTCCGATAGATCTGTTTCAGTGAAACTAGGCACCCTTGTACCAGGTATTAGCGCCGTTTCTCCAAGTGTTGTATAACCTTGTTGACGTGTAAATCCAAGAGGACTGAATTTAGTGTACATCAAGTCAGAATCATTGGTTAACATGCCAGCCTCACCATTGATGACGAATCCCGTGTGTTTAATGTTGAACTTATTGTAAAAGAATCGGTTTCTTTCAATCCATAAATCATCGGCACGAGGTAAACTAGAAAATTTTCTTGGCTCAAATAACTGAGTAGGGTTTAAGTAGCCAGAACCAGAGTCTCCACTGACAAAGAAATCATTAGCTGTACGAGTTTGATACAAATAAGGATGTAATAATGGAAAGCGGTTATACAGATTGGGATTTATGGCCCATGCAATAGGTACAGACCCACGTTTGGGATCATCCCAGAGGTTTTTGAACTTATTAGCAAACCACGCTGCTGAGTCATAATCGCCTGCGTAATATAGACTGTATGTTTTCTGGGATACTATATTCAGATCATTTAAAAACCTTTGTTGAATAAGTTGTTCACGAGATGGTAAAGGATTTTGAATAAAGCGTTTTTCACCTTGTGTTGATGAATAATGACTAAAGAAGGCAGCATTAGCGAAATAGTCCACACAACAAGCATCTGCATCTATTACAACATTAAATGCAGACATGATGTGAGTCATACGCCACTCAGATGGTACCCCACCATGCTTTTCATTCACATATTTGAAGAGCCATGGTACAAACCCACTTACGGTGCTAAACTTCGTTCCATTGTGTTGCTGATATGATTTCTGTAATAATGTAATGAGTGTATTGCAATCTGTTCCAATAGGTTGTTGAGGATCATCATTCGGTGCTTCATCATTCCAAGGTGATAAATCAAATACAAATCCACGATTTTTGATGATCCAGTCGTGATTAACTGCCAAATTTTCGAAAGAAACTTGTGATGCTTGAGTAGATTGAGACCACCACTTGTCAATGTAATAACCGAGGTAAGTAGCGTCTGCAAGTTTACTATCAAGAAAATGTTCAGTTGCCCACAAGTAGGCATCAGCTTTAGCACTACCTGTAACGTTTCCCGTGAACATATCTACAAAGTTTATTTTGATAGGTAGCTGTGGACCTTTCACAACAAGTTGAGTATACAAAGAGTTAGGAATGGGTCTATAGCAAATTGGTATTAGATCGTAAACACCCGATGCAGTAGATGCAAGATTTGAAGTTGCAGGAACTCTAGGATCATAAAGGGCAACACCCGTTATACCATCGGATAGAAGTTTAATGAGGTCAATCAGCGACGCTACTACCATGTAATTAGCATCTTGTGGCCAATTGACTGAGGCCATATAGAATAACCAACGTAGATCTGAATCGCTATAAATTGTAAACAATCTAGGCTCATCTCTATTTGCAAGTCCACTTAGTGCACCTAGCAAATGAGCATATTCGTATATATCATCGAGTGGAAGTTTCGTTGAAGGACGCAAATCGTATAAAAGAATATTTGTCGTAGCAGCTTTTGTCGATGTTGGGATCATGACAATAGTGATCAATATTATGAAAAAGATCGATGTCATTATCTGAATCGAAATGATATCGATTAGTCTAGATACGTGTAAAATCGAATTCTGATATTGAATACATATATTTCCGATAGAATTTTCAAGAAATTCCTTTAGATTTTCCAAAGCAACTTAGCTTCTTCTGTAGTTTTTTTACAAAAAATATTATTTTACTGCCTATGCGTTCTATTTTCGAGTGATAAGTGAAAGAGATATCTTGTGCTTGCCTATATACAATGAGATCTTATTTGTTATCTTCTCTCAAATACTATGTTGATTTAGTAATAAAAGAAAAGGACGAACGATAGATGCAGATGTGACATTAACTTACAATATGACGATGTTTCTTTTTTTTTGTAAAACAAGTTTTGACAGTAAGCCAGTTAGTTTTGTTTAATATCAAATATCTATGCGTCAATCTGCGAGTTCCTTTCTAAGAAGTCACGATGACGCCAATGATAACATAAAAGAAACTTTAAAAAATAGAAAAATGTAAAATACTAATATTTGAATGGCTTCTCTTGATTGTTTCTTTGTGATTGGTATTAAAGAAATAAAAATTGAACTATATTTTTAACAAATTATTCTCTCTTATTCTTTGCAGCATCTATTACTTGAAAAAAAATCATTTCATCACATCAAAGCATGAATTTACTGAGCCTTACGAAACATCTTCTATATTTTTAACTCAAACCGATTTTAGCTTCACAGCGATCATTTGAAGTTCTGCAGTTATTCAAAGGTAATGACTTTTGTAAATTGTGTATTTATGAAATTTTCTAATTTAATGATATAATGAAAATCGATGAGTTGACATTACAAATCAGTTTAGATTACATAAAATCGGGAAAAAGCCATAATGAATCGATTTGATTCAATTGCACATGCTAGGTTTTCAACAAGAGCTTCAAATAAGAAGAAAAACTCCATCCGATCTCACAAGATAACTTCTTCTTGTGACATCTCACATGAGATCGGATGGAATAGAATGTCCTCCTTATCTGTACATGAAAAATAATACAGGTTTTATCTCATAAAATATGGTATCTAGATACTTCATAGATACCATGGGTAATGGAACTTATTCTGTCTTCGTCATTGACCTTTTTCATCAATCAAAAGTTTCTTTTCTCTTTTATTGTATTTTTTTCATATTATAACTCTCATATTTTTATTGAACTTTAAGCAATCAAAAATAACATGGAATCGGTAATCACTCTATGCTACAAGATCGAATCCCACAGTATGAAAAGGTCTTCAGTGAACCTTAGTAGTTTGAAAAAAACTAAGTGAACTCATCAGAAACTAAAAATTCATGGATAGACAATGCATTGAAAAATTAATATTATTCTTTCTCAAAACTTAATTCAATAAATTTTGATGCATTTACTATCGTATATGTTAAAGTTCTACAAGATCATGACACCTTAGATCATATGCCGCCGTGAATTTTGAATTTTCTGATTTTGTGATATGTTCGAAATCGCTTTGGTTCTTTGAAAGAATGTCAACAAAAATTCCAGAAAATCAGAATTATTCGATAAAGATAGAGCGAATCAATGCAATTGAAAAAAAGCAGTAATTTAGGAAAATTAAGACGGTTAGGAACATTACCGTAGATCTGCTACTTTTTTTAAGAAACAAATTAGATTTATATGAATAATGTAAAAATTCAAATACGAAATTAACTCATAAAGGGTGTAATATAAGTTCTGATTCCCTTTTCCAATAAAATTGTTCGAAAACGGAATCAGAGCTTATGTTACACCTTTTATAGATGGAACCAGAAAAGGGAAGCTGAGATGATAGACTAAAAGAGGCATGACAGTCAACTCAAGACTATCCTATTTCTGAGCCCTGCTCCGAATTATTTGTGATCGATTTTGAAAAGCCAAATCCATGATTTACATTGCAAGATTCAGACAATATATCAAAAACAGATGAACAAGATCTGAAGAGTTACAAAAAAAATCAAATAATTTATATTAAACGACTCTTATTTTAAAAAAAAAGAGTAATTAGAAAAGGATTTGTTCTGAATGCTGATTTAAAAACTTGTACAATTCATAATGCAAGAATAATAAAATAGAGATATTTTGAAAGCAAACAAGTAATTTTTCGTGACATTTTTTATATCAGAAAGACTTCACTTTGATTGCCGTTAAAAATCATGATTTGTTTTAGAAAATATCTACAATGGTATTAATTAGATGGTTTTAGCCACGTAGTTCAAGAGAAATATACAATTTTATACTTCAAAAAAACATTATAAAACGAGCCCAGAAGTTTGACAAAATAAAATCGAAGATTCATGCATACTACATCCGATTTTCTAGTTACAGTACCTATCATCAGTTGAATCAAATACTCATTTGTTTGTAAACAGCTTGCCAGACTTGAATATGACAATCGAGCTCAATAGTCTAGCATAAAATACATGGACTAATCGTGAATGTAGGTCTTGATTTGAACAATACCTATTCACAGATTCCGTATTAGTTGAACTACACCAAACTAAGATACATTAATTCCCTTGAAATTTTTGGCATTATTTTATAAAGTCATATCAGTGAACTAACATGAAAAAAATACCTGTTCGAAACTATTACTGTTGCCATACATGGAATCCTTCAAAGTTTAATTAGATTCTGCGTAGACTTTGCAAATCTGTAGAAATTATATGAAACAAAAATCGGATACATTTCTTTTTATCTATTGAAATAATATTGACCAACTAGAAGAATCAATCAAAATATAGGAAAAATATATATCTATGATGTATGTGAGTGTGAGCGTTTTCTTAACAGATATTTAAACCCTCAGAATTCTTTTACATGCTCATCAATAGTATTCTTCATCAGAGATCTCTGCTTTTTTTTGTCTCATCTAAACTCTAATTATTTATTACACGCAGCATAGCAAATTGAGTTTGTTTAATGTCACTAGAATGCTGGTTTCATGTTCTTGCTCAATCTACATTGAGAATTTCCTTTGGTTTACGGCCAGTTAACTGTCAAAATGCTATTCTTATATATTTTTAGCTTTATGCTGTTGCAGCAAATTTAATATTCTACAAAATCATGGTTTACAAAAAAACTAGAACTCGAAAGGATTGACAGTTATGAAAATTTTTTCAAAAGCTACTTTTTACGTGAGATAGTATTCAAAAAAACGTCTGCTTTGAATTTTATATTTAAAACTCAACAGATTTCAACCATTTGTACTAGTACATACAAAGATAAATAAATTTAAAAAATTCAAAATATATATAGCTAGGAAGACGAACATGAAACTCTCATTCTAGCAGACTACTTTTGATTCTTTCCCATGACTGTCAAGTAGACAAAAATAAAACAAACATTTTGTAGACAATGTTTTTACACACAAGTTAAATTGTTCATTTTTATCATATAATTTATTTCGTATTTCAATAATTTGTTTGAATGCTTCTTTTGTTTTGAATAGTTTAATATTATTTATTATAGAATTCAATATTGTAGAATCGAAAGACTTATGCAGTATTGATCTAATCAATTGATCAGAATCTAATCCAATAAATCTGAGTAATGCTGTTAGTTTTATATTTACCGCTACAGATACTTAACGACCTACTCTTCATGATAAGAAAAGAAAAACTATTGCACCTTTAGTTCATGAAATACAATATTTAATCGTGACTTTGATTTTATGAAAAATGATCTTCAAGTAATGTTGCAATATTTAAATAACATCAGATGTATCGAATCATATCAGTATCTTATATATGAGATGGTTACAACTGCAAACATCAAATAGCTACTGACATCATATTACCAAAAAAAAATGATATGAACGACATTCTCTATGGATATTTTCTATTAATAGTAATACCAATTGCACTGATAATATCAAAGAAGAAAAAATTACATTTTATTTTTCAAAACGAATAAATCGGTCCTGAATGTTGAATTCTTTTAGTACGCTGAGAAACAAAGACATCTTAATCAACAAAAAATACTAGAAAATGTGTGTTACGAATAACTAAATGCAAGATTTTTTAAATAGATATCATGAGAATATTACACCAACCATGACATAAATTTCAATAAATAAATATATAAAAATAGTACAAAAAAAAATCAGCGAAAGACATTAATAAAATTTAATTCTGTCGAGATAAATAATGTTGATGTATTATTGAACTGTAGCTTACATCTTACTTTTGTTTTCTATTAAGTTTAGCGTAACAAATATTATCTTTATGAAACATGAAACAAGCAAGAGAATGCATTTGTTTTTCTTTTCTGTGATATATATCATTCAGTGGCGTAGCCAGCAGGGTGGCAATTCGGCAATTGCCACCTAATTTTTTTTTAATGCGCGCAATTGCCCATTGTCAAAAAATGTTAATACCTGTGTATACTTAAAGATTCAAGGAGTGTTTTCTTTCAATACATTTTCTCTTGATGAGATCTAATCAAGTGATTTATAAAAATCAATCGTCGATCTTTTGCATTCAAAGAATGATCACAGTAATAATGATTCAATAGTATTTTCTGTCATAATACGCTCTAATACACTTAAATGAGCTAAAGAGAAACTTGAATGAATGCTCAACGATCTCTCTACGAACATAAATCGTATTGTACAGAAACGACTGAATTAATCTAAATTAAAAGCTTTCACAATGTATGTTGCAACATGACTCTTGCACTGTTAGAGTTGAAAACGTGAATAAACTACATAGAAAATCTAAATAAAAATCGACTGAGTGTCTAAACGACAGTGTTTTGAAAACTCATTTCAGGCATTGAAACTACTGGTAATGAAATGATAATATTTAATTTACAGGATGCGCATATGACTGAACATTGAAACCATGCAAAAAAAAACTTTCATGATTGAGAATTTGTTACAGATATATGTGGAATAATGCTTATCATTGTCCGATGTAATAGAACAAACTAACTCATGCAATTGTCCGATTAAAGAAGATAAACAAACCTTCATTGCCTGACGAAAGAAAGTAAAGAGGCATTGATCAATGTTTCACGAAAAAAGATAGACTGATAGCCATTGTGTCTCTACCACATATTCAGAAAAGAGATTGATTTTCTTGTTCTATTAATACTTATTTATGACTTTTTGCCATAAAATACTGAAATATATGAGATCAAAGAGTACATTTCTGGAATAGTGTTTAAAAAAAGCGAGCAAATTTATCTGTTAATCCAAAATGACTAATTTCTCTTCAGTAAACAACAAATTCTGTAATGCGGATAAGTATTTAAAAAACTATTGCCCACTAGGTTTTACAATTGCCCATTGCTACCACCTACTCAAAATAATTTAGCTGGTAAATTGCCACCTACGTAAAAAATCCTGGCTATGCCACTGTATATATCAAAAGCGAACAAAAGAAAAAAAAATTAAATGGTTACTCTACTAGACCGATTTTCTTGTCAAGTTATAATGTATAAAAATATCATGAAAAAAAAGTAAAACTTTAGTATATTGACTTTGTTTTCATTGTTATCTAGTTAAAATATTGCATAATTACATAAACCAGATATTATTTCAGGAAACAATTATGCACACATGAAATATTAAGTATTATGCTTTAATTGTATATTAAAATTATTGTCTATTCAACAAAAAATTTTATACATATACACTGAAATTGATATATTATTACTTATCTTATCGACAAGTTAGTTTTTCGAGTATAGATTGTAATGAATTAATCAGTGTCACTCGAAACGTACTCCCGCCACTCAATGTATATATATAAAATGGTAGTCCACTAGCAAGATAAGTAAGAAGTAAGACAAAATTATAAATAAATTTGTTGATTGTTATATTTAACAATGATTTTGTTGCATTCACTGATAATGTTGTATAGAATTTTTCAATTGCTTGTGGTATTGTTAGAATGGAAAGGAATATAATTTGAATAAAAAGTACGTGACGTAAATAACGATCGATACGTTTTTTTCGTTGTTGTTGACTTTTTTTTGATATTAATACATTTTTATTATTTCCATTAAGCACAATTAATTTCTTTTTAAATAATCGAGCAGTACACGTTTGACGTATATTTGATATTGTTATTAAACCAAATATAAACATAATTAATAATGGACATAATATTGTTATTATTGCATATGTCAAATCAGTTAAAAAACGACATACAACATTTTTCCCATAACATGGAAGTGGAGTTGAACTCATATTTGCCTCATAACAATAAATCATTTGACAATAAAGAAGAATAGATAAGATAATTATAATTATTGTTCCTCGTTGAGCATTTTTTAATGAACTCATTTGTCGTCGTTGATATTGACTACATGATGAAAACCAACGATCTATTGTAGCAAATGCAATAAGCCAAAAAGCAATTGTTCGTGAAACAAAAACAATAAAAGCACGAAATTTACAAACAAGACTATTTGTATCTGTTATATCTATATTCCAACCAGCTAAAATTCTTGTTGTTAAGCCAAATAGAATAGAAATCATATTTGCAATAGATGAAATTAAGAAAAGATAAGCACATGGATTTACACGAAGCGTCGGTTGAGATAAAACAACACAATTAAGTATATTACCAATTGTACCAAAAAGAAAAATAAATATCGAAAAGTAACGATTGATTTGCATTGACATATACTCTAATATTTCACCTAAATCTGTATTGGATATGTTATACATTGAAGAAACTGAATTTTCATTAAGTTCTAAAGAAAAAAAAGAAAACTTTTACATAGATGGATATATCTACTTGTGTTTATAGTGCAGCAATCGTAAAAAATTCTGCGATCAACCAAAAGCTATTTTAACATGCACGATTTGTCTTTAAATTTCTGCTACTGCATAGTAGAATTGGATAGGCATGGATCGTGACCACCAACTAATCTGCTATAGAATAGCGGAAAAAAATGTTATAGATCCAAGATTATCGGCACCTGGTATAATTCATATCTCAGTTATTTCAGTATGTCTCTATTCGTGCAACAATTCATGCGAAAATTTAACATCGGAGTGTGATAAGACATCATTCTGATATGATAAAGTATTATTTTTTTTTCAATCCAAAAGTTGTATTCAATAGTAATGTGTACAGTTCAGTAAAAATTCTTATGGATGAATGATTCTTTATTGAAGTTTGGGAACTATAGTTGGCAAATACATTAATATACAGTATTGAAAAGGATCGACTACCATACAATTTGTCAATTAGTTGGAATGTTGATGATTTGTGTCGTTAATGACAAACGAAAATTTTTTGGAGCTGTCTTTTATTCCTAGCAATATTCGACAATTTATTTTTTATATTATTATAGAGAATCCAAGTGTCTAAACGGATTCATTAGTTTGTAGTTCGAATGAAACTCATTAGTTATATGCATACGAAATTTTCTTAAAGTTTATATATTGACTGCTCATCACAAAACTTGTTCAAAAGTTATCTTAGATAATTCAGTTGTGTGTTTAATTTAATTAAGCCATCATACTGTAAACTTTGAAAAGTTTTTATCACCAAGGACAGTATAAATTTCTTACAAACTACAAATTAATGGATTAGTTTACACCTCCAGATTCTCTATGTTAATCTAAAAAATCAATTGTTGAATATTGCTAAAGAAAAAGAGAGTTCCAAAAAATCTTTGTTTGCCATTCAGTTATTTTTCACATGATGGTTATTCTTTTTTGAGCTACGTATAGTTTTCTATGAATACTCATTGTCGTCATATTCAATACAAATCATTAGTATTCCAACGAATTGGTCAATTGTGTTATTGCTGATCCATGTGAACATTCTATTTTGATATTTTTTCAGGAAAAAACACAAAATACTAAAATAGTTCAGATATAAAAAACATGGTGTGTCGATAATGTTGTAATTATAACGTTGTTTTCTATCATTCTATGGTAGATCAGTTGGTAGTTGCGATCAAAGCTCATCAAATTCTGCTAGTAGCAGAAACTAGATGCTAAAATATGCATGTTGAAATAGTTTTTACTAATGTAACATTTTTTATGATTACTTCATGTAATGTATTTCTGATGTAGTTGTTAAGCGGCGTATTTATATAATTTTTATGCTACATTACATCTAATGTCAGGACTATAAATAGATGTGTAAGTGTTTTGTCATACCTTTTTTTCTTTCTAGAAAATAATTACATTATGATCATACTAACAATGTTGATGAGATTTTCTAGCAGAAAAGAACAACGGATTTAATGAAATATCATGCCTGCTTTTATATATGGTATTGCGTCTTTTAATATTGTTCGTATATCTGTAAGAAATTTTTAATTTACTTTTTTGTTATATTTTAAGCATGATTAAGTTATTTATTGAGAAAAGAATTTATCAACTGTGTATTTTATTGAATGAAATAGTTTACTTCAATGCTGATCGATTACAGCACTGAACAAAATCTCGAATATAAAGTAATGCATCATATAAAGATTACAAACCTTGTACTTCAAAAAACTCTTGTGCATTGATCATAATGACTAATTTTGTAAACAATAGATTGAATTTATTCCATAGAATTTTATCTAAAATAATCAATACATTTAGTATTCTCTACGCAATGTATGTTTTCTATAAAAGGTTGATTCAATACGAGAATAAGATGAAAATAATGAATAGCATTTATTGAGTTTCATGAAAAAGTGATGAAGCATTTGTTCTTTCGTGTCGTGCTGCTATTAAATGATGCTAGTTTTATGTAATATATAGGAGAAAAAAAACAAGAGAACGCGGAAGAAAGAAAAATACTTAATGTATTCATGCACAAAAGAATGTTAAAAAAAACTTTTGAAGCATTTGTCATTTAAAATATGCGATCATCTTTCAAATTAACCAAGCCTTTTATTTACTTTTTCGATATTATAAAGAAAAAAAAGAGCACTTGCTATTTTTATCTAGTAATAATTGTCTGTCAAGAATACATCGAGCATCAATCAAGCTTATAACCATATGACAGTTGGCTTTTAAAAATTCATATGATGAATTACAGTTCGTCACTGGTTCTGTTAGTCATAAAGAATGACATATCAATTTCCTGTGTTTGGTGTCTATAATAACATAATGTTCGATTACAAGCCAGCAACATACTATCATTTTTTTTGTCACAGTATGAATAATTATTATTTCTCTTCATGCTTTGATCATCCATGAAAAACATGACACTGTACTCAATGAATTTTTCTGGCTTTTTTTACAGTATAAAAGAAAAACGTTTTACTGATTTTTGAAGATTCAAAAACGAACGTGAAAGTTAATGTTTATTTGAAAATAATGTTTCTTTTTTAAGAAATAAATTTTACTTTGACGAATTTAACTAACATTTTATAAACAAAATAACTAAAAGATTTTTTCAAAGTGAGAAATAAGCTTATAATAAATCGATAAATGTGTTTGGCGGCGATTAACTATGATTCCAAATTTCAAAGAATAAAAACGAAATATTTTATTGAACAAATATTGCTACTAGAACTATGATTTAATGATTCAATGAACCATGGGAATTATTCAATGGGGAAAAAATCCTATCATCAAAAAAAAAAATATTAATGTTGGACGATGGAATATTTGAAAACTGGAGATGCTATAAGATTATAGTTTTAACTTAAAAGTTGTTATACGGTAGTGTATTGACACTATAATCTTCAAGACATCTATAATTCGATAGAACACTAATATTCATAGTACAGTAACAGTAGACTAACAGTGTCTTAGGGCAGAATTGTAATCGACTGAGAACTTTGGATCTATCAGGTCTATCTAGTACAGAAAATCTTTTAGTCTGATGAAAACAAGCAAAAAAAGACTCATTTTTTTTCCGTACTCAAGTTTTCACAAACTCTCAGAAAGAACAGTCATATTACAGTAATTCATATCTGTTAAATTTCTCAATGATGAATATGTGTTATTTCTATACATTGCTCGAAACAAAGGAATTATCTACGAATCAACTGATTGCTAAACTTTAAACCTTGAATTTTCTCACTCAATCTTTTCAAGCAAATCTAATATTTTTCTTAATTGTGCTTTAAAAACAATAAAATACCCATGTAAGAATTTTTGATTAAAAATTTGATTAAAAATCGATTAAAATGGCACGATTTTAATCGGCTTTTTTAGGTTTGAAGACGGATTTTAATCTTTTTTAATCGATTTTAATCGATTAATAAGCTTGAATCAGTTAAAACTAATTATCAAAATCGATTTTAGTTGATTTAGGTTTATTAATCGATTAAAATAGATTAAAAAAAGATTAAAATCAAATAAAATCCGTCTTCAAGCCTAAAAAATCCGATTAAAATCTGATTAAAATCGTGCCATTTTAATCGATTTTTAATCAAATTTTTAATCAAAAATTTTTACATGGGTGCACTTCGATTAGATTGCCTCGTCCAATCATTTCAACGGAATCAGTTACAACTCTTGCTGAAGATGAGATTGACATTAATAAGGTTGGAATACAAACTCAACATCTTTACCAAGTCAGTTAGTTATCAAGTTGGATGGCTACTAACTCGATTGATGATGTAGTTGATTGTCCACAAATTATGGGTGAACCTGACTTAGTTCATCATCAGCTTTTTAGTAAATATATATACGATTGAGGAAATTTCATTTCGATGCTATAAAATCATAACTTATTCATATGAACAAGCAGAAACTGTGAAAGTATGACTATACATTATATTTATCCTCTATGCTGTTACTTGATTGAGTTTCCAAGGATAGTCGTAGAAGACATCATATGAAATAAATGTAACATTATAGACAAGTGAATGCGGGTATTATTATCATTAATAGTCAGTGTCAATCGAGTGAAGAAGTTGATGTTCTCAAACTAAATAAACCATTTAATAATCACTAGTATTTACTTCATGCAAATCAAATTGAAGAAAGTTGTATTACACATACAATAGCTGCAAGTGAAATTACTATTAAGCACTGTATGCAAAAATTATTTTAATATTTGTTTTTACATATAGAATATTTGAAATGATAAGTTGTATTTACTTGAACTGATCAAATATGTGAAGATAGTGGGTTGATTAATTATCGATCATATTATAGTCATACTGGGAAAAACTTGTGATCGAATCTCATATTCAGAAATGGCAATCAATCATATTTTTATGATTAATTGGAATGCTATCGCTTTGTCTTGACATAAGTAAAACATTTAACAGTTTCTTATAAATCAACATCTTTATAATTATGATTCTCTTTTTTCTTAATAAGCATGTTGAAAGATGCTAGATACAAGAGTTGTTTCTTTCGAATAAAGCAAGACAAAATTTATCATTTTTCTTGTCTCTTCATTCAAAACAACAATCACATTTTAGAAAAAGAACAAAACCATCTTTTTTTTCATGTTATACACAAAACAAAAATGTAGAAGTTTACAAAAAATGTGTATACTGTAAAAGAATTAATTCACATTAAAATTTAACTTTGTATTAAATTAAAACAATAGAATATGAATTATGAATTTTAGTTTTATTAACAAATGAATAATTGATTAAACTGGTTCATCAAGTATTATATTGATGAATACGAAATTGATTTCATTAATAGTATTGATTAAGAAGAAAATTGATAAAAACATTTAGGTTAATTCGTTATCTTTCACTATGATTCTAGAATAATTAATGATAAAATAGCTTCATAAATGGATTATTAGCCTGTCTAAAATGCTAATGATGTAGTCTCATACATAAAATCTATTATCTCTAAGTGGGATCATTTAATTAGTCGAATAATCGCATGGTAAATGAAAAGGGTATTATAGTAACATAAAAAAAGAACGAAGTAAGCTGGTGAAAGCAAGGCTAAAAGAATCTATTTGTTTTTGACACATCTTGTTAAATAAGCATTTACTTTGCTTTGTGTCATTTTGTAACTACTGAAGAAACTTTTTATGAATTGACGTTGACAATAAAAATATTAACTTTGTTCTTGATTACCCTTTAGCAGCTCAATGACGTTTTCATGATCATTCGTATGCTTTAGTATGTATAATTCGCCGAGTAATCGTGAAGTTTTTGAAACATATCTAACTCATTAGTATGTTTCTTCATCGATTTAGATCACATCGAAATTTCTAAAGGTTTCCTAACGTTCTTATTGTTTTCAAATCACATTCTTCCTTGATTTTCTGTAATCATTCTATACCTAGTCAAGTCAATGACTAATAGAGAGTGCAGAGTTAAAGAACAACATATCTTTTCAGGATTCATATTCCATTTTCTATCAAATATCTTGTCATAATAAATTTTTTACAAAACTTCAAAATTATTCATTGCAATCTGATCCAGTCAGTTGTAGTATCGAAGTATTATGGTGACGAGATCAATATAATGAAAAACCAACATTATTTGATCACTAATTTCAAGTCTATATTGATTTTGAAAAACAAGGATCGATAGCAATATGTAAAAAAAAAACCTCATTTAATATGAATGTCTCATCAATTAAACCTTTTCAAGAGGAACAGTGTTATCAATGGTTCAAATGTTACTTTGTAATCATGTATTCCTACAATAACAATTAGTTCTTGTACACAATATACATTACAAAAGTCTCAATGAGTCGAATCGAGTCAAATCTTAAGGCAGAATGTTTTTGGATAGAAAACCATGAACTGAGCCAGGCTGATTTGACATTATTATGAACGTTCATGGGTTAAATCTTGAATAAAATATAAAATTTTCACAAGATGTTGCTTATTTCCACTGAACTTATTTTCCTTGCAAACTTCATGTAATTCTTCCGTTAGCTAAAAAAATTTCTGCAATAAACATCAAATATATAAAACAAAACAAAGAAAAAATTAAAATTGTCATCATTTGAAAAACAGTATCCTCATATTGTTTGCGCGAGCTTTATATGCAACAGATTTAACGGAGGATTGTGATAAAACTTTTTTGTCATATAGAATAATGTTTAAAGATGATTGATCAAATATTGGTTGTCTATAAATTCATAAAGACAAAATAGAACGAAAGTGAAAATAAAATATCTATTCGAGTGATAGTGAAAAAAGAAAAATAGAAAATAAAACTCAAACATTTGTGTTAAAGACTTGCTTATCATTTCATTCTATTATAATACCTTGAATATTGCTATCTGATAACACACATACACTTGCTTATACTCATCAATCTTAAAACAAAAACATGTTATTCCATTTATTCATAATATTTCAAATTATACATTCAGTTTCATGTGTTATAACATGTTATATTTGTCCAATAGATGCGAATAGTTTTGATTATTTTATTACACCAGATCGTTTACCAGATACACTTAATAATTGTACATTACAAACAATTGGAGATAATTGTTTTATTGATGTTATATGGCATCGAAAACCAGATAAAACTGAATTAACATTAAGTACTAAAGATAATCCAAGAGCGATATACAATGAACACAATCTTAATACTATTAATAGTTTGGAAAATAAGAATTCTAATTTCGTATGGACTAGATCAATTTCATATACATGTTCTACTAATTATTGTAATAGTTTAACTGTATTAAAACGTTTATTAAATTCGTTAATATTGAATGATTATTTTAATGAACTTGAATATCTCCTTAATAGAGAAGAACCATTTGATGGTAATTGGTGTTGGTTTAAGAAAAATATGACTTCATTAACGTGTGTAATTGTAATACCACCAGAATCTTGTAAAGCATGTTTTTTTCAAGGAGTAAGTCGTCGTAATTCAATAGAAATCTGTGAAACATGTTTACAGGATGATATTGGTGAAACAGCTTTATCACATGAAGTGGATTTCAATATGACTGATCGAACACGTATTGATCATTGGATTCTTGAATGTAAATCAAGAAATTGTAATACAGAAAATAATGGCGATCTTATCCGTCAAAAGAGTACATCAAATTTTGATTTTATCGAATTTTTAGATGATGCTAATAATCCAAATATTTTATCATCGATGAGAAAAATAATATTACTTTTTATTGTTTTTTTCATAAAATTTCTTAATTAATTTTTTGAAATATGCATCAATGTTTGTTTTATAAATCTATACAATTTTTAAATAGATAGATCAGGCGAAATATGGTGCAACTTTTTTTTTTCTATAAATGATCTTGAAAACGTAGAATGTTACATGTGCATGGATATATTCCATATTGTAATTAAAATTATAGATAGATACAATATTATTTCTAAAGTTTGACTTTTCCTGTTGACCTGCTTAGCGGATAATTACTATTGATATAATAACTTAATCTCGATTTCCATACCTGATAATAATAATGGCTTATCCAAGATTACGCGCCGCCCTATCATTAATCATCTTCGCCTTGCTACCAGAAGAAAGAAAATGTGATAACTACCATCATTAACACTATATTGTATAGATTACATCCAAGATCATAGGTCACTATTCTACAACCCACAATCTGCTAGTTATGCCAGTAGAAATTAATATTTATCATCTTATGTATACAATTAAAGTGGCACAGTCACAAATTACTTCCTATATAAACTACTGTCAAAAGAAAAAGAGACCTACAGTCACATGATCATTTTAGTATAGAAAAAATAGAAAGTATGATGGAAGTGATGACGTATTTAACAAATTTGATGAATTGTTATTTTTTCTCTTCCAATAAATAACGGAAAATCTTAGTAAAGACTCGACAAAGAAAAAAAAAAAACAAGGACTGTTATAAACATTTGCGTAAAAGAATATTTTTATCTTTTGAAGCTTATATATCTTCAAACTAAATATTTGATATCAACCAAACAACTTTACATACACATTAATTATCTTGCGATATTAACAATAGAAAAAAAACAACCATGCTTGTCTCCCTATTTTTAGCATTTCAATTGTTCTATTCAGTTACATGCTCTATATCATGTTATAATTGTCCTATGGAATTCAATACTTTTGATTCGATTATTACAGTTGACACTATACCAAACAATCTTAAAAATTGTTCAATTAAGACCGAACAATCTGAATGCTCTATTCAAGTAATATGGATGCAAAATCCAAATCAAACTCGAATAGCACTTGTAGGCGGTGGTGAAAGAAGAACAGAATCCGATGAACACAATCTCAAAAATGATATTCTATTAAAAAATGACGGTATTAAAACGCAATGGACGAATACTATTTTGTATGTATGTTCTACTGAAAACTGCAATAGTCCATCAACTTTAAAACATCTATTAAGATCATTAACATCAAAAGATAATTTCAATGAATTTTCATATCTTCTTGTAATGAATGAACATTTTAATGGTACATTATGTTTCTTTTATGCCAATAGTAGTGTATCATGCGAAACTGAAATAGATCCAAACACTTGTAAACAATGTACAACTGAAGAATATATTCAAACGAAACCATTAGAAATATGTTCAAACTGTATTATGGATGACGTTATTGAAAATTTTATTACATATGAAGTTAAATTTTTTATGAATAATCGAGAACGTCATGATTTTTGGATGATTGAATGTCAATTACCAAATTGTAATACAATAGATAATAGTGATTTAATACGGCAGAAGAGTAATATTCAATTTGATTTTGATCTTTTTCTAAATTGCAGTAGGCAACTAACAAATATTTTATCAATTAATATAATAGTTTTTGTTCTACTGACATTATATATAAAAATAAAATTGAACTGATGTTGAAAAATCAAGTTTTATATCATATCATATTCTGAAACGATTTTAAAATTAATCATTCTTTTATTCAACAAAAGCAAACTCTCTGAAACTTTAGCAGATTATTACATCTATAAATAACTACAAAGTTTGAAGTCTATTGCTTTTACTATAGTTGAGAATTTATAGCAACACTATGTTGCAGTATTTTTTCCTATCAACTTAGTGATTTAGTTTTTATATAATCTAATTTTTCGAAATAAAAAGACAGATAACAAGTTGCCAATGCTTGTAAATTTGTGATTTACATTATGATCGATTATTGATTTTCATCGTGAGCGTCGATGTGCTTCTTACTGGTGCTTTTCCTCATTTACATCCATACTCACTGAAAGTAAAAATGTACAGAAGCCGTCTAATTTCAGCTTCAAATTTACACTCACTTTTATCTTTCGGAAAATATTATGAGAGTCACACAAAATGCATGAATAAATGTATCAGCATCAGTTCTTTTAAAACTATGAAATTCTTTGTAAGATTCTATATGAATTTATTTATTCGGAAGAACTCGTGTTTGGTCAAAGTTTCAGTAATCCCATAGGTTCCAAATCATAATGCGAAAGAATGGTAATAGCATGCTAAAATCAAGCATATATCCTATCAAAATCATTTAAAAAAACGCCGTGTTGCTTAATATTGAGTGTGAATGACTGGAGCATCTACACTTACATCCACCCATATCACATCTCACACTTATTGCTGCTGAAGATTTCTTGGACTTAATTTTCTTGTGCGGAAAATTCACCGATTCAACCATTAAATATATAAATATATCATGGAGATAAAACAAGAAAAAATAGAAAAATCATTGCGAATTATTTATTTCTGTATCAAAAATAATGCTTATTATTTGAAAAACCAATTCATTTAAGACTACATTTTATCTTTTTTTCTCTTATAGATTATATCTATTGATCACTAAAGTTGTTTAAATACACCAGCAGGTGTTACATTTCGACCACGTCCTTTGTCCATGAGTAAATCAGTTATCCAAGCAGGAATAATAGAAAGTGGAAAAAATATTAAGCCTGATTGCCATCCTGGTTTATAGCGAATACATGGTTTTGTATTACTAACAGCATGTTGAATTGCTTGTACTACTTTAATAGGATTTTCAGCAAAATGAATGAATATATTATTGAGTCGTTTGTCCATTAAATTTTTAAGATATTCTTTACCCCATCGATCTTGAACATCATTTGGTAGTGTATTCCACATCTTGTGCATTGTTTGTACATGACCTTCGATGATAGGTGTACGCATATAACCTGGTTCAATAATGCTTACATGTAATCCCCATGGATGCATTTCACGACGTAGACAATCAGAAAATGATTCGAACGCATATTTTGAAGCACAATAAGCTGACATACTTGGTGCAGCTAAAAAACCAGCTACTGAACATAAATTAACTATACGTGAACCTCGTTTAGCTATAAGTAATGGTAAAAATGTTTTTGTCATAGCAACATGTCCAAAATAATTTATTTCCATCATATTTCTCATAAAATCAAGTGTAATCCAATCAATTAAACCATCTTGATCAATTCCTGCATTATTTACAAGTGCGTGTAATGTATTTGTTTTTTCTTTCACTATTCTATATGCAGCATCAATTTGTGTTTGTTGAGTAATATCAAGACAGAAGACAATGGCACGGGATGAAAGTTTGTTTTTCAATGAAGCTTGATTATCTTTATTATAAACACTAGCGAAAACATTGAAACCTTTTTTATCAAGTTCAATAGCTAATGTATGACCAAAACCTGTATCACATCCACTGATAAGTACATATTTACCATTGGGATCAATATCTGGTGATGGATATAAATATTGATAGAATCGATAAGTTACATACAGAATTAATAAGAAACCTATAATCAAGAACATATTTGCACGTATGAAAATGCTTCTAAAACGGAAAGAAACTATGAAAATTTTTGAAATATATTTCATTTGTGATAATGAATCGACAAAGAAAAACTTCAAGAACAATGATTGGCCATGTTAAACACACACAAATGAATTACTAACGCCGCGTTCTTTTTTTCTCGTTCGCATAGATGTTTGTCGTTTATGCTTAACTTCAAATAGACTCCATATGATAAGAAAAAAATGTATGAAGGAAAAAAGAATCAAACACGTAACTTATGAAAAGAAAAAAAAGTAGGGAGAATGACAAAACAGTCAGTTAAATACAAGGCACATAAAAATAAAAGCAATCTAATAATATTTACTTAAAACTAACCTCTGTTGCAAAAGTCTTTGCACAAAATATTCGTTCACTTTTTGACCACTTGAAAACAACTAGTGAAGATCAAAAGTAGTTAGTTGGAATCAGAATTTTGTGCTCTATCAGAATATATACTTGGAATTTTTTTATAACCTAAGGCTGGTTCACTGCAAGCAAATGTTTGAAGGGACCGAAATAATTATTCGTACAAAGCAAAATACGTTTTTTTTGCAATCCGCTACTTTTCCAGATAATACTTAAGCGCGGTTTTAATTAGGCGTTTTTGTAGAGCATTCAATTCTGTACAAAACTGGGTATTATAATAGAGTAGAACTAAAAACTATCAAAAGTTACAGATGTTTTCCTAGGTGCTACTTTCAACGTAAAACAGTTTTTGTCAAAAAATCGATTTTTGGAAATCCACCTGTTCGAATGTAGCCGATTTCGAGCCAATTTGACGATTTATAAAAAGATGAGTGGATATGTGTTTTGCAGAGAAAATTTTTCTCTAAAAACTGCCATATGAACAGACGTTTCATTTGTTCAATTAACTAAGCTTTAACCAAAATACAAAATTGGCAGAAATAGGATTCTGTACAAACTACATTTTCGGCTAATTCAAGTATTTGCTCAGAGTGAATCAGCCTTAGGTTAGAAAAAAAATTCCAAGTATATATTCTGATAGAGCACAAAATTCTGATTCCAACTAACTACTTTTGGTCTTCACTAGTTGTTTTCAAGTGGTCAAATAGTGAACGAACATTTTGTGCAAAGACTTTTGCAACAGAGGTTATATCGATTTTTTTATTCATGGACTACTTAAATCTGAAAGATACAAATGTTCAGGATTTGTCCAATGTGTGTGAATACATCACATACATATTTTTCTCTATTAAATATATCTGGTATTTTCCAACTCTCTCTTACGTGTACGTAAAACATATAGCTATGAATTTTTCCTTTCCTGTCATATATGTTAGTGATTTTTTCCTATCGTTGTCATCCTATACATGTATATGTGCATACCTTCACTTCGATGCAATCTTCTTCTCTTCTGCTATGTATTCTTGTTACATTGTTCTTTACCTTCTACACTTTGTGGTTTCGTGTTATTGAATAAACTGAATATCAGCAATTATTTGATCAGTTAATTGTCTTACAAACAAAATTAGTATTCTATGATTATCACGTTAAGTATTGTATACATTGTCTTATAAGGTCAAAAATAGCACATATTTGTCCTTGAAGTGAAATTGATATACTACCACATATTTAGAGTTTGATGGTTCTCAAAAAGACAAATGAAATAGATAACTAAGTCACAACCGGAATTTTTCACTTTCTCTTAACCGGAACCGGAAGTGTGTTATGAAAGAGAACGGACACATAACAGGAATCCGTGAAATCGAAAATTTTTACTGACAAAGGGAAAACTATTCCAGAGTTACACTTTTAGAAAATATTCCATGTCTCAATTAAAAGCGAGATTTTTACTGAAAAATGTTTGTTTTTGTCGCAGTTGTTCTGTGAGGCATCTTCAGTGGTATTCTATCGAAATAAGAGATAAACTCAAATATTTTATTTTATCAAAATATGACATTCTTAATGCTTAACTTTACTGAGTTTTTTTTGTCTTAATTGATACGCCGAGAGTGGTGGAAGAAGAAGATCAAATAAAGAATAACTAGACTTCATTGTATTCGGTTTAACAAAAAAATCATTTGAGATATGATCGACATAACAGATGAGTGTTTACTAAAATTGCTTTTCTATCACCAAGAACAAGACATATAGTTGAAATTTCGTTTTATGTATAACTAGATACCTCAAATATTTGCATAATATGAGAGCTCAATATGATTCTTTGCCAATAAACAGATTATACAACTGATTAACAGTCATGATTTTCTCTTTGCTATTTTGTCGTTCGAAAAATGTGCTTTTTCATAAATAATACACATTAACGATGCCGAAAAATGATATCTAACTTAGAAATTTCTAGGTAAAAATTATTATTCAAGTTATCTGGTATACTATTGTTATATGACCAATTCTAAAGATGCTTGTTAGAGACCGACATTCAACTGCTTTGTTTTCGTTTTTACTAAGTGAAACCGTCGGTCTCTATATACATTCCATTTCGATATCATAAACAGCCAGTATTACAATAGGTAGCACAAATTATCCAACGAACAATATTATTTATACTGACATATATAAAAATAAAACTTTCAATTATTTGATCAAAAATCAAGAACATTTGAATAGATTGATTGCTTCTTACTTATTCTTACTGATTATCTCGATTAAAAAATAATATTTAGTTTGATATTGATAAAATATTTCAATACACCATGATATAAATAATCTACGAAATAAAGTGTGCTCAAATTTGAATCACATACAATATGATTTGATGTATTTTATTCATTGACCAAATTACCCGGCAGACTTTCAAATTAATATCACAATTACCAATTTATCACATTAATTACCTACATATCCAGCTGTTGTTACATAAGATGACGCACTCATTTATAACTTTTTGTCATTCAACTATCGAATTGATTCTTAATACGAAATGTATGTAACAATTCCAACATTATATCATACACATAGTTTAGTTGATTTGTTGTATTTTTTTACCGTGCCTATTTTACCTGTCACTGTACTGTTAGTTGAGACTGAATAAAAAAAAAAATAATAAATAATTAAAAGTTTTCGTATACGAGAGAATAGTTATTCACAGAATTGAATAAAAAGAAAAAAAAAATAATTATTCCTATATTTTTAGAAATATAATTAGAGGATTATGTAAGTACATGATTGTCTTTGTCAACGTAAGCCAAATCAAAATCAATATAATAAAAAATAAGCAGAAGAATAATTAAAACAAAAATATATACTTATCCTAATATAAATATGCATAAAAACCATGCATAACTATATACTTTGCTTATTCTCTTTTTGAAATTTTATTTTGATATTTATAGTATTGTTTGAATGAAACTTGCCTGAAAATTCTTTTTTTTTTAATCTTCAGTTTGGCATATATTCTCCAAAGATTTCGGCAAGGAAAAGGAACGTTGATTGATTTGTTCACTCAAGAAAAAAAAATCATTCGATTATCAATTTAGAAGCAGTACCAAAAAACATCTTGTTCTTTTTCTATTATTAATCAAAGATGTTGAACGAAAATATGAATGAATAGTTGCATTAGTATACCATGATTGACATTGTTTAACTATTCAAGAAAAACTTTTATCAATGAAGATAAGATGTTTGATCAATTTTGAATGTGATAAGCAATCAAAATAATTAGTTGAAAATTATTTACAAGAAAAAGTAATTTTACGTCAACTAAATGAAAATGTTTACTGATGAAAAATTATTTGCATAATTGTCATACTGAAAAGGAACATGTCTGATTTTCTTTTGAAGAGTTCTTCTTCATATTGAATGACTATACTCTCAACCGAATGGCTTATTCAGATAAGAAATAAGAATCGAATTCGAGAAAGTATTTTCTTGACACATGACGAAGATTCTGCAATCATGGAACTTTTTTTTGATTTCGTAACCAAACATAAAAGGGTTCCGTAATAAAAGTTTTCTTTTAGAATGTAATGAGCCATAGTTTCTTTCTCTCTTTAAGCTTGGTATAACTATAACTTTCATCATTCATATTCAGTTTGTCTAGTCCTTGTTCTTTAATGAATTGCGCTATTCTCATGATCCAATTTTTTGAAAATATTTACTTTATATGGAAGATTTATGCACTCAATCTGCCATACAAATGCATGTTGCTAAAGAATCTGAATTATGTGCAACTGTGTCAATGTGAATAAGAATCATCTTCTTTGAAGAAATTCCTTATCTATAGGCAAATATTTATAAGATAGAAATAAAAAAAGGCGAATACTTTTCGTATACGAAAATCGGTCGATGGAAAACATAGTCGAGAAATGTAAAATAAAATAACAAAAGCCTTCAGCTGGATGAAAAAAAAAATATAAGTTCATAATTTATCTGCAGTTCGTTTCATATCATACTCACAAAATGTTTCTCTTAATTTTACTTTTCTATCAGAATTATTTTTCGATATAACTCTATGAAAATCTATGAATGCATAACTTTTAGTTTTGATAAGAAATTCTAGTTCATATGCTTCTTCTGGAAAATTTGCTAATAAGCGTCTTCCGTCATTTTTTTGTATTGATTTAGTGCATTCGTTGTTAAACACTGCTGAATTACTTTTCATCAGTATTGTACTTTATTTTTACGACTTTTAAATTATGTAGATACTACTTAATGCTAAAAATGAATATTTTGATAAGACAAAAATACTCTTGCATTTAAAGACAATGTTAGAAAATGAAATTAAAGAGTAAGGGTGCAGCATTTGGAATAGAGATAGTATTATGGACTGTTGAAGAATCGACACCTGGGACAGCTGTTAAAATATAAGCAAGACCTTTAGATGATGTGGTTGAATCTTGAATTTGAATTTTAACAACAATATCATTTGAATCTATACTTCACACCCACACCAGAGTTGGAACCGGACAGGTTTTTTCTGTCCGGTTCGGTTCGGCCGGTTAAAAAATCTGCCCGGTCCGGTCCGGTCAGCAACCGGCCGGACGAATTTTACAGCCAAACTGGCAAAAATCCGGCGAAAATAACCGACCATAAAAGTATCTGTTAACATAAAATGTTGGCGAAGGGGAATTGAATATTCACATGCAGAAATCCCAACTAGGGGTGATCAATTTACGTTTACGAAAAATTTATAAATCCAAAAATAAATTTTAAGAAATTTAAATTAAAAATAAATTTTAAAAAGTTTTATTTATTTCGAGTTTAAATTGGATTTACATAAATTTAAATTTTGTAAAATTATTTAAATTTATTTAAATCCAGTTTAAATCAATATAAATTCGATATAAATCAAATAAAATTCAATTTAAGTTCATTTAATTGGGTTTAAATCCATTTACATTAATTCATATAGGATTTAAATCCAATTAAATGAATTTAAATTGAATTTTATTTGGTTTAGATTGAATTTATACTGATTTAAACTGAATTGAAATAAATTTAAATCATTTTAAAAAATTTAAATTTATGCAAATCCAATTTAAAATTATAATAAATTAACAGCAAATCGCCACCCTTAATCCGAACTGAAAACTAAAACTTGGGACTGAAACTCTCCCTTCATATTTTATAGCAAGGTGCGTCGACTTTTCGAGCCCGACATCGATATAAATTAGCTATTCAGATCAAATCTGTTTTTCATCTTAATTTCAAAAAAGGAAAAAAAAGCAAGTTTATAACACATCTAACATAAAAATGACATTTTTATTTTTCTTGATTCAGGCAGCTGCCTAAGTAGAACAAGAGAATAAATTATTTGATCAAGGTTAAATTGAGCGATACACGAGAAAGAAATCGATAGAGATATAAAGAGAACAATCAATCGTCTATAGTCAAGTCGAAGACAAGATATCTATTGAGTCTTTCGCAAACACATTCTTCTGACTTGAAAATATCATAAAAAAACCATTTTCAGTAGAGAAAATTCTTGGATGCAAACAACAATTTTGTAATGATGAACTGGCAAAAATCCGGTTCTGTCCGATCCGGTTTAACTTTTTGTCCGGTCTTGTCCGGTTCGGTCCGGTCCGGTCCGGTCGGACCGGAGCCGAATTGCCGGACCGGTTCCAACTCTGACCCACACCCTCACTTCGTCATACTGAAAAATCACCTTTACATTGACCGATTCACTTGAAAATTTATTTTCAACATACTCATAGATTCAGAAATGTTCCCTAAAAGTTTCAGTTTTATAGCTTGTACTAAACTCGAAATAGGACGATATAATATTCTCGTCACCGTATGTTTCGCCAAACGCTTATATCTCAATGAATCCAGTTGTTCTTTCTACCTAGTTTTGTAGACATTAGAAGCTATATGTATCACTAGAAAAATCTCCTATAAATCATTTAGATGTAGAATAATATCAATTTTTTTCCTATATCAAATCTTACACTTTCTGTTTGTAAATATTGTCCTTCGTATATATCTAATTTCACTAATATTCAAATAATACCGAATCATCCGGTTAATAGAAGAAATTTTCTGATATATACATATAGAGTATTGATAGATCTTTCAGTATTCACTCTTATAGTGATTCAGAGAAGTCGAATTGATATTATTAACGTTTTTGATACTCATAAACGTTGATTCTAAAACTAAACCTCTGACATTTAATCAAGATGATGAAAAATCGTAACTGAAAATATTTTCCTTTTCTTTTATGTTGTGATCTGTTCCATTTATCGGATACAGAAAAAAAATGATATTATTCTATATCTAAATGACTTATAGAAGATTTTTCTAGTGATACATATAGCTTCTAATGTCTACAATACTAGGTAGAAAGAACAACTGGATTCATTGAGATATAAGCGTTTGGCGAAACATACGGTGACGAGAATATTATATCGTCCTATTTCGAGTTTAGTACAAGCTATAAAACTGAAACTTTTAGGGAACATTTCTGAATCTATGAGTATGTTGAAAATAAATTTTCAAATGAATCGGTCAATGTAAAGGTGATTTTTCAGTATGACGAAGTGAAAATCATTATAACTGTGATTCGGTCGATACTCATTAACAGGCTGATATCTCAGAAACCTGAAAGATTTTCTGATGAAAATTTTATTGGAGAAAGCTGAAGTCTCAAGCTTTTGAATGGGAAGTTCTTCAACTTTCAAAGTGGTTGTATGACTGAGATGTAACTAATGTAAGATAACGATAGTGTTTAATGTATAACTCTGTTCTGTTACATTGGATTGATCTCGAGTTGGTGTCTATGATCAGCGTTTGTCAGCACTCACATATAGACAAAATCTCAAGCCAAAAGCTTGAAATATTGATAGAGGGGGGGGGGGGGGGGGTGAGGGACTTTTGGCCAGGACTGTATTATCTTTCGTCCGTGTTTAATGTTAGATTAATATGGATACTGATTCAATGATTGTTCAAGACAGCAGTCATAATCTATTTCATTTCAATTCAATAACTCTTTGTACAAAATCGCATTCTTACCTATTAATACTATAAAATATTGTAAACAAGTTTTATAGATCAAATGGCTAAATATTTAATAAAATTTTAAAACTATTCATCTTTGTTTTGAATCTACTTTTCATAATTCCCTATTTCGTTACATATATTTAAAAAAAATTAATGACCATTCATTAACATGGATGACAATAAGCAAGTCCTAGTTGTTGTCGATGCAATATTTGAGTTGCATTAACAAAAAGAGCTAAAGTTATATATCGAAGAGGAGCATCACCCCATCGATAAAGAAACACACCTCTAGATTCATCAATACATTGTATAAAATCAACAACTTCTTTTCGTCGCATAAATGATAAATCAACGATTTCAAAATTATTCCAATAATTAGGTATTTCCATTGTACGATTAAAGATATCAGCGAACATAGCAGGATTTTGAAGAGTTATTTTATTTTTACTAATAAAGGCAGTGGTGACATTTCTTACGAGTGTTATACCTGGAAGTACATATTCAAAGTCTACTTCTCTCTGATTGGCCATATACAGAGCTTGATGTTTGACCATTATTTCGAATACATTAGGCCATTTACCTAAAAAACAAAGATTTATTTATTAAAATTTTTTTTCAGAAAAAAAAAATGTGTTCGTCATTGTCATAAGAGTTGAAAGATTCTCCCATTCAAGTATTAGACGTAGAGCAATGATATATCGTTTTGATTTATTTTGTAACATCTGATTTTAGTCGATTTATTGTAAAAATTATATTCCTTGAATTTTCTTTCGATTTCAATAGAAATAAGTCATATGTTTGATGAGTACTCTGTTCAAGAATTTCTCACGTTCTCAATGTTATTTTTCGTTGTAGATGCTTTATATTTTTATTTCGCTCATACAAATGTTATGGTCAATATAATTGAGTCTCAGAAATTTAATAATGAAATTATTTCTATTGTTTAAACATCGACTTTATGTTACGAAAAACTTTGAAATTACCTAAAATTTGTGAATCATCATCGAGCCGCATCATATATCGATATCGTTGAATTATTTTTAATTCAAATACTTGCTTAAACCAAAAATAACACATATGGTGATAGTTCCATTTACCTTTCTGTGACCAACTTGGATCTCTTATATGAGGATCAAAACCTGGTGAGAATCTATAAAATATATGATCAACATTAACAAACTCTACTTGACGTCGAGTAGCTTGAATTATTGATAACAGATCTCCTTGAAAAGGATAACCTGTATGAAAAATAATTAAATCTGTTGAACTATTATCACCCAGACGTTCCTCAATTTGACTAATTTTATCGCGGAGTCTTGGATATGGATTATAAGCTAAACGAACATCACCAGTAAAACTTGCTACTAAGAAAGCAATAACATTTTCAGAAGACTAGAATGATAAAAGCAGAATACAACAAAAAAAAAGTATAAGAATAAATCTACTTTTCGAGTTTGATTTAAATATTCATTTTTAGAAAATATGTATTTTTCTTCAATATTTGGAATTGAACTTGATTTCCAATTTATTTTTATTATATCTTGTTTATGAACATCAATAAATACTGGTGTTTTTAAAGAATTACCAAATGAATTGAAAAATAAAAGCATGATAAGTGATATTAATAAAATTGATAATAAAAACATTTGTTTATTCAACGCTGGTATATTTCTATAAAAATAAGATTTCTAAAATAGTATATTTCATTTTAAAGGAATAACTTACTGTCTACATTTTGAGATAATATCAGTTTTTATTTGATTTAGTCTTCTTCTAATGATCTCAATAGTTTGCTTTTCATTTCGAAGACGAGATATTTCTGATATCTGCATGAATGAAATATTGAAATGAAGATCTACAACATAAATTATTGTTTTTATTTTCTATGATTCAAAATAAAAAAAAAAATTAATGCAATGCTCATAAGAAATTCTTTAAACTCGTTTTCCTTTTTCAAAAAAAATTTTACCTACTCGAGTATTTCCCATAGAGTGACTTACGCTTCTTTTTCTTTTTCATGACGGCTGACAGTTGAGAAGAAAATTATTTTTTTACTCAGCAATATTTTATTCTTTGATAGTTCTTACTTTTAGAGAAAATATTAACCGACTAATAGAATGATAAGTATGAGGACGAACAGTTATTTTAAGTTATGCAAAAAGTGAAAATTGTTTTTTTTAAACATATAATAAGAAGTTTTTTAATAATGTTAAAGAAAACCATCCTAAATTGTTTACAAAGACTTATTTATCTATCTATTAATAAATTATATGTTGGTAAAAATAAATGGTTATTTAATACCTATTTATGAATGTAGTATAAGCAAATATTTTTGAAGAATTTGTTATCTCTTTCGTCAGTTCATTTACTTTTATATTGGTATAAAATTTTTTTATCTTTTACTACTTGTAACTATGCCCATTTTTCTTTTTTTTCTAACACTAGAACGGAATGACATGATCGTAACAGTGAACGAATAAATCTACGTACGTATTGTCATCTTCCATGTCACTATGAGAAAAAATTAAAAAAAATAAATAGACAGATTTCTCGATAGTAAAAGATAGACAAGTTTTATAGAAATGTAAAAGTAAATGAGCTGACAGAGGAGATAGCAGTTCTTCGAAATGTTTTCTTATAGGAAATTAATAAATACCTATACATAATTGATTATAAATAAAAGAAACAATTACTTTTAAACAATGGGGAATTTCCGACTAAATTAACCAGTTTTGCAATACGTAAAGTAACTGTGAGCTATGATGTAGATCTAAATGTATACATAAAATCTCGTTTGAAACTTCTCTTTTTCTTTTTTTTTTTTTTTGTAAACTGATCTTCCTTTGATGAAGTCGTTGCATTAAATTCATACAAAAAAAATACTTTTTATCTATGAATCGAATTGAGAATTTAGTTCCACGAAGTTTTCAACATTTATATAATGAACTTCACATTTACTTAAAGCAAATATTTGAGAGACACTTTTTGGAACATTACCACTATCATCACAGGAATACTATACTGCAAAACATTTTTTAAAAGTTTCTACACATGAATACGAATCGTTCAAAAGCGTTTTCTAAATACTCCTTTAGAACTGTAATAGAGTTTGTATCAAAACGAGATTCATATAGAGTGTTTGGGGTGTCATACACATCCAACTTGAAAGATGGATTCAACTCAAGTTTCACGTTTCATCTTTCAAACACACGCATCTGTCTTCACATGTGTTGAAACTTGAGTTGTAAGCTGAAATTTAAAACGTGAGTTGAATTCATCTTTGCAGTTTAACATGTATGACACTCTATACGAGTTTCGTTCTCTCATGAACTCTATTAGAGTCGAAAAGGCACACCAAGGGTAAATCCTTGATAAGATGTTCCATAAATTTCATTCTAATGTATGAAATCAACGAAATACAATAAAGAAAATTGAAAAATTCATATAAATATTGTTCAGAAATTATTTAAATAAAGATACTTTCGATAATACTATCGTTCAGCATTGCAGAAATGGTTTTTAGAATCTATATATATATTGTTCTTTTTGTGCATGCAGCGTTCACATAAATAATCGAAGAATAAATAACAGCAATAGTTCTATATGTATATGACAGGTAAGACAGATTAAATGACCGTCTTTTGCGTTTCAATTTTCAACCATTTAATACGTTTTATTAAAAAACAAAATATACTACAAGATGCAGCATGAAAATCTCTACAAATTAATGGATAAAGGATAGCTTATTTAATATGTGCAGCTATTTTTTTTTCAAAATAGATAAAGTTCTGTTCGACCAATTTTTAATTTCGTTTTGATAATATTAATATGAGCAGTAACATCAACAGAAATAAAAGCTTAATTAGTGTTTTATCACAAAACTTGCTGCAAAGCGTATCAAGAATTCATATATATACACCTTATGATATTATTCTTTTTAACCCGCTAATTTTCTGTGGCTGTATCTGTTTTATACTTACAGTTAGAGGTGTTAGCCGCCGATTTTTCGCCGCCGCCGCCGGTAAAATTTTCATCCGCCGCCGCCGAATAGAACGTCTCGGCGAGAACTTTTCCGCCGCCGTCGCCGTTCGAGTGAAGGGTCACAGTTCAAGCTTCCTCTTTTCTAGATTATCACTTGTTGATAATAATCAGTAATATCTCAAGTTTGATCTATGTGACAATTAGAGATTACTGAAACCAACAGAACTTTTAAAAAATAGGAATTAGTGTATTTTTTCTTGGATGACATATGGTCTGAAAACCGAGCTGATAAGAAAATATGTCTCCTTGTGATTTTCTGACGCTACCATATTTATTAGGTTTTCATTTGCATTATTCCTTCATGCACAATAGACTCATCGCTATTATTTTCTTCGTTTCGCGATTTTTGACTTATTCAGTATGCAGTTTCGACTAACTGTCTAGTTTGAGTTCGAATATAGATGTAACTAACATTGCGATTGGAATTCGAATTCCAATCGACACTCTCCTACCAGTTTAGAAAAAAGAAAAATATTTAGTTTCAATTTGAATTCAAATAATCAATGAAAACAAATCTTGCTCTTTTTCTCCACTCACAGAAAAGTATCGATTTGAATTTGGATTCAAATTCTAATTTCAATGTTAGTTTCACTTATGATCTAATTCGAGCTAGCATAGGGATGGCACATTATCTTTATTTTACTTTGAAAAAGTAAAGTAAAGTAGAGTAAAGTAAAATACTATAGTTCGAATGTGGAAAATAAAGTGAGATAAAGTTAACCAAACAATATTTTTTATGTATCCATAAACAATCGATATTTTTCGGCTTTACTTATTTTTTTTTCACACTAATTTTAAGACGAAACGATATTGAAAAAACTTTGATACGTTCTAAGATTATTTCTACACGATTCTGAACTAAGAAATTGCCAAAAAATTTAAAACATACAACTTCATTTTTTTCACTTTACTTTACTTTTTGGGTAACGTATTTAACTTTATTTTAACGGGTAAAGTAAAGTATTTAACTTTACTTGATCGGGTAAAGTAAAGTTCTAATACTTTACTTTATTTCGTAAAGTAAAGATAAAGTGCCAGCCATAAGCTATCATGTTTGAATTTAATTTTTATTTTAGATGGATAGTCACATTATTGTCATTTTGGCTCATATCATGAGTTCTTGTTGTGTGGTTTGAAGTTATTTTATGATGGGACAATGTGAATTTTTTGAATTAATGAAAATAAAGTTACATCTAGTGGAAAAATTTTTCCATCAAAAAAGACATGAGCGTGCTAAGAAGAAAACAGCGTCATAATTCTATGAGAACAGAACGCCTAATGTTTGTCTTAACGGTAGGAATCTACGAAAGACCTTGTGAAATCACACAGGAAAAATTTTGTCGTCGCCGCCGCCGCCGAAAATGACCTCCTCGGCGAGAGCTCCTCGCCGCCGCCCCTGATGCCTTAAAAATTTTCCGCCGCCGCTGCCGCCGCCGATCAAATGATCGGCTAACACCTCTACTTACAGTCAAGCTAAATATTGATAGACTAAAATACAAGTATATTTTGGATAATATTTGATCGACTAATAAAAATGGTTAATGTTTATTTATTGGAATATATTTGTCATAATTTTTAAATTTGGATTGTATCGAACGATGGTTTATATATAATCTTAGTTTTGAATAAAAATGAACATTTTCAATCGTATTTCCGACAAAAACATTAAATTGAGACTCTGTCATCCAAAACTTACTCTAATACAATTATTTTGCTTTCGAGATATCTTGCATAATTTTCAAATCTATGTATTCTGTTAAAACTTCATAGTAAACTCCTGGACGAATAGAGTTGCAAGACGAAGTTCAAAAATAAATTTCTTTTCAAAAGCTATTCGTCTAGGAGTTTAGTAAGAAGCCATTATCCGAATTAAATATCGGCAAGAGTCGGAATCCTTAGGACGATATGCTACGTATTCTAGTGGGACTCTACATGCAGATCACAGCATGATAATAATTCGAGGGGATTGCCATGAAATATTATTTCTTGAGTAGTATGAGATCTGTTTACAACTCACTTTCTTTAGATATGTAATGAGTCAGACAAACAATGAAAATAAATGCATCAAAATTCTAACGAAAAGTAAATCGCGAAAGCGTACATTTTTATGATTTCATTCAAGAGGCTTGACGTGTTTAAATTCTGAACTAAGTAAATTCTTAGAGAATAACCCTATCCATAGACTTAGTTTGAATGAAAAATAGTTTAGATGAGCTGTTAGATATTACAGTGTTCTTACAAAATGATAGAACAATTGTAACACCTAAGAACTCAACTGAACTATTTTTCATACAAACTAACTGTATGGATAGGACTATTTTCTCTAGTAATTTACTTAGTTCAGAAATCAAACGTTCAGTAACAAGTGAAACTGTATGATAAACGCTATTCTAACTAGAAGAGTTTCATCTAATTATCGGAAAGATAAAAAAAATATAATGTACAAGAATAAAAAAAACGACCTATTGGAATTATCTTCAGATAAATCTTAATAAAGCACTTTCTTACTGATGGTAGCAGTGAAGTTTAATAGATTTTGGATAACAATATACATCTCACTTTCTAAGTATGTATTCTCAACCTCTGTCCAATTTTAAATACTAGAACAATATAAAAAATTGAAATGGGTTAGAAGTTTTTCAAACATCCAATATCTAATCAAAGTTTATTAATAATATCTAACTAATAATCTGAATTTCTTCCTTATGTCTGCTAACCTAAACAGAAAAACAAAACACTAAATAGAAAAATGAAAGACTGATATGATCAATAATATTCGATCGCTTTATATCTATCTATCTCACTTATGTCAGAATAAAATATTTCAATGAAAACACTAGAATTTATATATCGATCTTTATCGAGTCGCTCGCATGAGAGTACTGATCTATCAACTCTTAATAGCCTGTACGAAGAAAAAATCCAATTAGTTTAGAACAAAAAATATATGTGAGACTATTATTTAACGAATATATCATGGATTGAATGAGTCAGGAAAATGAAAGAGTGAGCTAACTGAAATAGTACTAGAAAAAAAACATGAAACTCATAAGAGCTGAGAAGAAAGAATACAAGATACATTTCGAAGTATTTATTAAGGTTACATCATTCAAATCACTGTTTGCTCACTTGAAATGTTTTCTTCAGAATGATGAAGCTATAATAATTAAAATTATTTCGAGCCAAGATATTCTATGCACTATATTATTATAAATAGATAGCGACTCATGAAATATTAAAACACACTGTCAACAGAGGTTAGACAAATAAAACTCAGCGCAATTCTGTTATATTTCAATATTTCTATAATAAATTTATATTTTTCTTCGTTTATCTGAATAAAAAATGTTATTTCGAATATATTGTACAACTTTCCTTTAGGTCATCGAAAGAAAAAAGTTTTTACGCATGCGATTAATCGAAAATGCCATTTAACTCATGAAAAAAAAAATGTAAGAATCTACATTGGAATGCATTTTGCTTTCATTAAAAATGCAGAAAAATTGTTCGAGAACGAATTTTTCACGATGCATTTGATCATTGTACAACGAAGTTTTTTCCTGAAGAGCTTTACTCTATCCTTTTATCCTAACCTTAACCCTATAGTTTTACATCTGTACTCATATAACTATAGCCTTACTGCTAAAGCCTAACATTGACATTGTTGTCTTAATACTTTTATACATATGCCTTTCCTTTTATACTCATATATTTATACTCCTAATTTTATAACTTCATCAATATACCCTTATACCTATGCCGTTACCTCTACACTGTTATATCTATAGCCTCAACTCTATATCCTTACACGTGTTCTCTTATCGTTGCGAATGGATGGAAAAAGACAGAAAGGAAAAATGTCGAAAGGAGAAAATATCGAAAATAAAAATGTCGAAAACAAGAATATGAGGTGAAGATGAACATTTAAGATTGAAGATGAGGGAGGGGAAATTTGTACTTCAATATACTCTCGTTTACAATATTTCTTTCCATCTACATTTGTTTTATTTTTGTTTTCGATATTTTTATTTTCGACATTTTTCTCTTTCGATATTTTTCCTTTCTACCTTTTTCCATCATACCATCCTTGCAGCCTTATATTTATAGTCAATACCTTTACTCTTAGACTCATACTCTATTAGATGAATTTTTTTATGACTTATCGTTTTTATTCTAATAATAATCTTAATTTTTTAAAACGAAACTCAACATATCTGTGAAACATGTGCGTGCAGATAGTTTTATCGTTACATATTATAACAAACACTTCTTTGCCGAAAATTGTATCATTATGATATTAGTTGAAGCATGATAAAATATCATACAAAAAAAAGAGCATTGTGTGCACTATCAGTGCATACAGAAAGAAAGTTCCCTCAAATTTTCTTTACGGAATTAAGCTACCTCTGACACTACTTTTGGCATGATCTAAGTATATATTTATATATATGTGAGCACTGTGAAGGAAATAAAAAAAATGCGCAGTACATGTATTTTATTCTTTTCAAATCTAACCTATGCGAATAAATTAAATATGTCATAAAATAACACTCTTACTATGAATCAATAGAAATTTTGATAAGAATAAAAAAAAAGATACCGTGTGTTGAATTGCTGCAGGAACGAACTTAACTGATTTGTTATTCCACTATAAATTTATCTATAGCTTTTTGAGCTCGGTTAAGGTTTTTTTGTTGATTAGATGAAAGTTGGTCTAATTCATCTGCCTTTGCTCTTTTTGTTAAGCAACTATATCTTTCTTTCTTTCTTTCTTAATGTTAAAATATATTCTAAGACATATTACTTATAACATTTTTACCTATATCGAGTCTATTTAAACAGTATAGTTTTCAGTCTCATATTTCAAAATTTTTGCCTGAATGATAGCAGATATTGCCTTGTAAAACGACATTGTTATTCATGATAAGAATGTGAATATTAGAATTTGTATGTAAAAAAAAGGTTATTTTTCAATAAGAGCACGTATTTAAAAAAAGATTCATTCTAGGGAGTTTATGTAAAATGCGTTTTTTTTCAGTAAAAAACGCAAGAAAAGTCAGTTTGGATGTGTAAAAAATAAATATGTCCAAATGCATAAAAGAAAACATGTTCCAATGATAATTCAAGTGGCGTTTATGGCAGATAAAAACGACATGATTAAACACCTTGCAAATAAAAATTGATGCATTTAAACATGTCATAATCAAAATTGATGTATTTAAACGCAGAAATAGTGTTCTTTTCCTGATAGTTGTCATTGGAACGCCGATTCATACAACTCTTTTTCTTGTTAATGAGGAATATGTAGAGTCATTTCTTGATAAATGGAAAAGTAGTGTAACAGGGAGATAATACTAGTAGTTGCGTTTAGTCGCTTCTGGTTCATCAATACGATGTTTTTGTCATTTACCAAGTGATTCATACGAGTAGTTATTTTTTTATTGTATTATTGTTAGGCTACTTTTTTTCTTTTACCAATACTAAACGCTAATGTATCATATTTTAGATTTATTCTTTATCATTGTTTGATAATATAATTTTACACAACTTTCATCACTTATGCCAAGACTCGATCGCCAAATATATGAACTAAAAATTCTGCAGTTAAACTATTCTCAAAAGATGAATTCAGTTAAACATATTGAATTGTTTAAACAACGAGAAATAACGAATTTTTGTTGAACACAGTAAAACTCGTTCAGAAAAATACGCATAAAAATATGCTTTCTTAACTAATCTTTGCCCGTTACTATGCGTTTCGCCCTTAAACACAATAAGACTCGTGAATTTTCCGCTGCCAACGAGTAAAAACACGTCAATTTCGAAAACTTTTACGCATTTTAAGATGTTTTTTGTAAAGCTTCTATGACTGGATAGTGCTATTTTTAAATAAGTACCATGCCTTCTGAAATGAGAAAGTGAAAAATATTTATAAATTATTTAAAACAATAATTTTTATGGCCTGTTGTTTTTTTTTACATACTCTAACAAATATATTCCAAATGTCTATGATAAACATATCATGCATCAAGCAGTAGGCATAATCTACCTTTCTTTGTTAAATCAATAATCAATATTAAGCTCACATGTGCAATTCATCGATAATTGTGCACTTTTGATATAAATTATTATTTGTCTGTCTAGAGCGGAGAGAGGATTGATTCCTGTAACAATTGTGAACACACACGGAAAGTCAAGGACATTCGTCGACATCTTATGATATTAGTTCTAAGCTGCAACTACTATTTTAAATCGAGCGCTCGAGTGCGCTTTGATCGGAATAGTCATAGCAATCTTGATTACTCATCGCTAAAGAGTTATGTTGAAGAAAATCTAAAAAGTATAGTTGTGAACATTTCTTGAATGATTCTGTGCATTATATCTCACGACAATAATCTCATCCCAAAGATCAATCAACATTTTGACATGAAATTTATCGCTAAACTAAAAAAAACGAACATGATTATATATACTAAATAATAATTTACATGCAATCTAACTGCAAGTATCGTTGTTAAGATTTCTTTTAGCTTTCATATCCTTTGCCACAAGTTATGATAAACTTTGAAAACTGTGTTTCAAATCAATTTGTGCATTATGAAACCTTGACGATACAATATAACAGCTCGAATGCCTCTATTAATTTTTATCTTATCAATTATGGTTAAGTATTTAATCAAATATTTTCTATGAGTACTGGTAAAAACTATGGACACCTATTGTTACTTTGATTTTTAATTATACAAGATATTTTACGTATAAAGATCAAGTTAGATATCGTTATATTTTACAGTTTGAAACTGAGACAACCATAGGTGTCCGTATTGTTCGCAGTTTTCCTGATACTCATTTTCAATTTTTTTGTCATTTACATTCAAAATTTCAATAAAAACAAGAAGTATAACTATTATTGTTTTGTCAATTGAAAGTTACTTATTTTTTTTAGACAACAGAACAATAACAAACAAAATGATTATTCATCTTATTTTTACATGGAGAAATCCAACATTCGTTCACAAGTATGGTGATATCATCGTCTATGAAAAAACCTCTTCTTCTAACAAATTTTCAAGCTACCTTTTTTGAAGATAAGGAAGCAAAACACGTGCTATTTGACATCTAAAGTTTATAAATAGTGAATTTCATCTAACAAAATCACAGTCTTCTTTTTTAATAGTACTCTTCATTACTTTTTCCGTTGTCAAATAAAAAATTCGACTATCAATGTTTTCGAATGATACTTATATATATATGGATGAACCATCCATTCATGCTTTATTAAAATGCAAATTATGTTCTAAACCATTTGTTGAACCTGTTTCAACACAAAATGGTGAACGATTTTGTCGATCATGTATTTCTCAAATATTACGTCGAGATCAATCTCATGATAATGGTACAACAAATATAACTAACGAATATCAATCATCCACAAAACAAAATTTAATTCCTGTTACTGAAAAACTTGTATTAGAAATGCTTGATTCACTTCTTGTTCGATGTGGAAAATGTGGAAAAACTAATTTACTTCGAGGTCAATTCGATGAACATAAAAATAACGAATGCCCAAAAGTAACTGCTTTATGTCAAGCTGCTGATATAAAATGTCCATGGGTTGGTATACGTGAAAATCTTGAAGAGCATTTAAATGAATGTAAATTTGAACCATTAAGACCTGCATTAGAAGAAATCTTTAATGAACATAATGAATTGAAAAATCGAATTAAAACTTTAGAAACACAAATTAATGAATTACGAAATAAGAAAAATTTAGAAATGGATGCAAATTTTTAAAACTTGTATGATTATTATAAATAAATAAAATGTTTTAATTTTAATTTTTTTTAATTTAAATAAAATCATAAGATGTTTACTACGAAGTTCAAGGAATGAAATTAAGTTTTATTGATTGATATTGAATTCTATTAAATAGAATACGATGAATTTAAGAAATTTTAGGAATTCATGTAACTTTGTATTAATAATGAAGAGTTCTTTTTCCTTTTGTAATTCGTCCAGAAGAAAACCTATTGCTCAACTTTTCTGTATAAATTCATAAATATTAGATATGATTATTACTTTACAAAATGAGAATAAAAACGGTAGGATTGACCTGACTCATGAAAGAGAAGAACGAATGGATGAATAAACTATGATAAAATAAAAATTTAAAAAAAAAACACTCAGATAAATTTCGTAAGAAAAATTAAATATTATCATGCATTATTCAATTTTTGACAATAAAATATTCATAAATACACACTAAAAAAAACATTGTTTTTAACAGAAAATATTCTAGATATTATTAAAGATTGATTCGAACAAATTTTTTTACAAATACTTTCCAATATACCATTTTAATGCATGATATCTATATTTTCCCCTTATAAATAAAGACAAATTATTTTTTGCATAATTTGTGCCTAATATTTTATGACACTTTCTCGATTATCATTATTTCACGGGAGTTAATCTAATAGAGACGCTCTTTGTTGTCTCAAGACAAATATATGATCAGTTTATCTTTTTATGAAACATTTTACTGTCATGTGATGAAAAAACAAAAGAAAAAAAACCAAGTTGACTAACTAGAATAAATAATATATTGTAAATAGGAAAAAGACTTAACTTCGTATGCTTATCATCATTTGTTATAAAAAAGACTAGATATTAATATATTTGCATTATTTATTTTCAGAATTTTTCGCTTGTAATTTCAAGAATTAAGAATGACGTCTGAATTGAATTTTGAGTATAGAAATGAAGACTCAATTGATCGTTTACTTAAATGTCGAATATGTTCAAAACCATTTATTGATCCAGTAATCACAAGAGATGGTAGTCGATTTTGTCGTAAATGTATCACTGAAAAAGCATCTGTCAATGATTCTAAATATCTTGAAAGGCAATCATCATTTATTGAAGATTTAGTTCCTGTTGAAGAAAAAATTCTTCTTGATATGCTCGATAGTCTTCATGTCAAATGTAAACAATGTCAACAAACCAATATTCGTCGAGTTCATTTAGAAGATCATATTCCTAATAAGTGTCCAAAAAGAATTGTTTTATGTAAAGCGTCTGATTTAAAATGTCCATGGAGTGGACCATATGAAGAACGTAATAATCATTTAAAACAATGTACTTTTCAATTATTAAGACCTATTTTAACTGAAGCTTTACTATCTCATAAACAATTAGAACAATATAAAAACTCTTATGATGAACAACGACATGAAATTGAACAATTAAAAACAAAAATTAAAATATATGAAGATCGAACTGAAAAATTACAAAAAGGACATACAATAGTTTTAGAATTATTAACACAACAAACTCGTCGTTGTGCATCATTAGAAAAAGATATTCAACAAATTCAAGAACAATCGCACAAACAAAATATTCAACCAATTGAATTAATAAAAGAAATTGAACAACTGAAAGAACAATATCATCAGATAAATATTCCTCCGAATGGATTTCAAACTGAATTTGATCGATTAAATCAACTTGAACAATCTATTGATGATTTAGCAAAGAAATTTCAACAATTAAATGAACAATATCAAAAACAACCATATGAAAATCAACAATCTCCAAATGAAAGTCAACAATTAAAAGAACAATTTAATCAACAAATGATTCAACTTAATCAATGTCAATTAGAAATAAATCAACTACAAAAAGAAAATAAATCTCGAAAAACTGAAATCACGCAAGTCGAACAAAAATGTAGTCAACATGAAATAGAAATACACTTATTGGCTAGAAAAAAATGTGCTTTGCCAAGTAAGTAAATTGAATATGTTTTCGAAAAAAAAACAAAATAACCCCAAGCACATAAGAACTCATTCTTATCCTTCTTAATTTTCAGAGTCAATCTAATTGAATTATATGTAGAATGAAAGATCATAAGCTTTTGGTCATTTTCGATGCCAAATTCGATGAGATTATAGATGTAAAACGAGCCTGTCTTCATCACATACAAAATAGCTCAATAGCCATTTGCATTAGACAACGCTACGAGTACTCATTTAAAAGAAAATTAATAAATGTAAGGAGGGATTCAGAGTTATTCTGATAGGTCTTTGACAAAGCTCATTTTTTAAAGAGTTATTCATTTAAAATAGTATTTTGATTTTACTAGGCCGAGTACAAACTTTTTTCTCTGATTTGTTCTCTGTCTGTTCGATAGAATACTCAATCGATGGAATAAACAGAAAAAAACTGAATTGAGATAGATGCATTTCAAATTAATTCCGAGATCTTTATTCCTACTTCTCCTTCAAAGATATGTAACAAAATATATTTAATTAGGCTTGTCAGTTTTGGCAATGTATCTAGTTATTTAACGTTTAAATATATACATATGTATTGCCTTTTTCATTGAAACATGTTTTGGTATATTAACATTTTATATGAAAATTGTTAGTGATACAGTTTTTTTTTTCTTCAATCTCAATTATACTCGTAATCGAGTTCTCAAATTCATCATTTACAGCTAAATCTAATCCAGTTTAACATGTTAGAATTATTATGTGACAAAGTTCTTTTTTAAACTTAAAACTCAGTTTACATTGGTAAAATTATTTATTCAAATAGCTTCTTTTGGTTATAGAGTATGTCCAATGTAGTTTGGAAAGACAATCCATTTAAGCGAACGACTATTGTTATGAGTCTCAAAATTATGAACTATATAAAGATTACAGTAACATAAAGAAAGTGTATTAATTGCTGGAAACAGTTAATATCGAAGTTATGATTAAATTTATAAAAGCTCGAATTTAGAAAAATATCATAACTTCGAGAACATTTAAAATTCCCAAATTTTTACTTCTATGTCCGAAAATTTATCAACTATATTGTTTTATTATCATCATCTTTAACGTACTATAACTAACAATTCGATAGAATAGATATATACTTATAAAATGAATTTGTAATTCATATAAATAAAATAGAAGAAACTGCGTTGCTTAAAAAATTTTAATTTAAATTCAGAATCAAGTCCAATGAGATACATATTTATATAGATAAACCCATTTGTATATAAGAAGAAGTAGCTAAACTCTTAGTAAAGTAATGAGTGGCAATGTTCTTCAAATATTCATTATAAAAATTATTTGATTTTTCATTTAGCAAATGTCACACCTTACGACGGAAAAATTGAACAATTGATTGAATCATTTGCATCTGATTCAGAAATTTATCTAGATGGACAACAATTGAACGATCGAGATATGGAACTTGTATGTAAAAAATTGATTATCGATAAACGATGTAGCAAACTTCGATTAGAATATAATGATATTTCTGCCAATGGTGCTACAATTTTAGCTGATGGTTTATATGGTAATACAACTCTAGCAGAATTACAACTTTCTCACAATCGTATATCGGATATGGGTACACACGCTCTAGCACAAGCTCTTACTATTAATAATGTCACACTTGATTGGCTTGAACTTCATTCGAATAGTATTACAGATGAAGGGGCTGAATATTTAGCAGATATGCTCAAAAGAAACAAAACAATAATATTATTAGGTTTAGGTTCTAATCGAATTGGTAATCGTGGTGTTCGATTATTGGCCAGTGCAATTGCAGGTTACAACGAAACTCTTCAATGGTTACATCTTGCTTCGAACAAATTAATAACTGATGCATGTGTTAATGATCTTATCGAAATGCTTAAACAAAATCAGTCACTAAACGCACTTGGGTTGAATGATTGTAGTTTGTCTAAAGATGCTGCAGACAAACTTCGACAAGTAGCCAATTCGAAAATAAATTTTACTTTAGAAATTTAATACTGTATATTAAAAAGACATGTACTCTTTATTATTACGTATATTTCTTTTTTTGATTATTCACTAGATTGTCTGTCATCATATAAAAATATGATTATTACATTACTATATAATTTCTTTTTTTCAGCATGATTATTTCATGTATTCAATCAATTACAGTATGAATTAAGGTTTAGAAATGAAAATTCTTTATTGATGAAATTGATCATAGAATGACTAGCATACATCTAAAATAATTCTTCAATACTCGTTTTCTTTTGTGCATCGTCTTTCTTGCATTATGTTCTGATTCATATGATTTATAAGATCATTTGCTTATTACCATAGAATATTTTACTATAAACTTGAGTTCGGATTCCGATAATTTTTTTCTTAGTTCTGATCTCACACATGTCAAGATATTATTCTGCATTTAGAAATAGAATGTGCTCCGTTGTTTTTTGAATAATTTCAGAATACAAATACCTAGAGATTTGTGATTTTCAATATCCGACAGAGTGAAACAAGAAATAGAAATCTATGTAAAAGTTAATCTGATAAACAAGGTACATGTTTGTTATTTTTGCAATTAATTTTTTCTGAAATTACTAAAAGAAGCTTGAAAAAATCAAACGATATAATTTCTTTTTCATTGCAAGAAATATTACTCCTTTCAACGAGACAACTTCAACTTGTTATCTTGTTAAATTCAACTCGTGTAGAGTTACCGACTGTTGTATATCTAACAAAATCAATCGGTCGTTGTCTTCCAAGATTGAATATCAAGAATAGAGATATTTTACTACAACTTTCAAGCAAACTGGAGGACGTACATACCACAGACAATTAATGATGAACCCATAATTTTTTTTACATAGATTCATGGCGGCTACTTCGTTCTTTCAAATGGTGATAATGATAAATCTCTTACTACCTATGCTCTAAAGTTATTCAAAAAAAAAGACGGAACACATTGATAAGAGAATTATAGTTGTCTATGTTCTATAAATATGATATGATGAATAATAATTTTTCGTTCTGTATATATTTTGTCACACAGACGTTAACATTGTATAATGATTGTTGATATATCTGATTGCATATGAATAATTCTCTAATACTTGTAAAATTTTATCAGTTCTAAACGGATGCTCTCTATGCTATAGACCATATTTTATTTGGACTCAATATTAAAAATACAATAAAACGTTTTTTTAATTTTCATTTGATTGCTCATAGACATACTTTCTAAGGACAACGTACGTCATAGTCTTGATTTTTCTCGTTATTATAGGAAGAAAGAAAAAAAAACAGATGAACAAGTCATAGGAGGGCATTCAGTGCAAAAGAAAAAAAAAGAAAGATGGAGAATGTACTGCATAACATCTACGGCTGCATAAAAGAAACATAGTCTGCTTTCATTTATATAGTGCTTATTTCTATTCTTTTTTTCAAAGTGAGTTTTTTAATTTTTTTTTTTTCATTAATAATGCTAATATCATCAATTGTACTATCTATATTATTCGTGTCACTATTAGATCCTATGAAGTGTGTACAACCTTCAAATACTACTAATTCCACTAGTAATATATTAAAATATATTGCTCTTGGTGCATCTGATGCTGTCGGTGTAGGAACATCAAAACCGTCGAAAGATGGTTGGGTACCAAAATTTGCTTCATTAATCAATGCACAAGAAACATTAAATCTCGGACGAAGTGGCTCAACTCTATCTGATGCTACGCATGAACAATTACCTAAAGTACTTGATCAAAAACCAAATGTCATAACAATTTGGTTAGCTGTCAATGATTTTAATCAGCAAGTATGTAATCCATCAATATTGTCAAATTATAAATCAGATTTAAATAAAATGTTATCTCAATTACGAACGAAATTCGATAAAAATACACGAATACTTGTTGGAAATATACCAGATCTAGCACAAGTTAATATTTATCAATCATTTGGTATACCAAAACAATATCTTAATATGCAAATTAAACAATGGAATGATGTTATTCATGATACAGTACAAAAATATCAATGTGAACTTGTTGATTTGTTTGCATATTGGAAAGAATTAGCTGTACATCCAGAATATATTTCTTTTGATGGATTTCATCCATCTGCAGATGGTTATACGAGACTTGCAGAAATATTTTATCAACAATACTCAAGAAAATAAATTTTGTTTAGTTTAATTTTTTTTTCTTCGTATGTATGTATGTATGTATAAATGATTCATTTTAAAACATAATAAATTATTTTTCAAGCAGGTTATCATGTTGTTTCTAAGCTATTTATTTCTGCATAGGTCCGTTTGACAGAAGATTTATTGAAAATATCAAGTTGTGATTCTCAATTTCTTGTTTTCTTGATAATAAACTAATAAATACATACGTGACTCCTATTGAATATTTCAATCAACTTGTACACAACATAAATAAATGTGTTATATTAATAATTCTATCAGGAGTCACTTTTAGACATCTTGTGTAATAATTTGGTATTGAAAAAATAAAATTTCTCAAGGAAATCATTTTCAACAGTTATGGATCCGCCTCTTTTACATTTTAATTTTCTATCAGTGCGTCATTATTGAAGATATTTTCTTGAAATTTGTTGTCTGACAGCTTCTTTTTACCATTTTAGTTAGCTATGAAGATAGTTACTTTGTAAAAGATAAGTATCTATAAAAGATACAGGCGATCGAGAAAAAAGAAAACTATATCTAACTGATTTTATGTGCAGAATGATGAATTATTGTTGATCGAAAATTTTGTCACACACATGGCAAAAATACAAAAAACAAGTAGAGAATAAAAAAAAGTTTCTTTGTTTTTACAAATTTTAACTAAATGCTTTGTTCTTTGAGACAATATTGACGATTCTTAATAAAATGTGATCACACAGTCAAGTTTGAACTCCTTTCAAGGTTATAATAGCTAATAGATTTATGATTTTTTAAGGAAATAATTATATTTATTACGACGTAAAAGACTTTTTGTTAATTATAAACTCGTTTTATTTTTATTTGAAACCTAGGAAACTAAGATATTGTTGTTGTTCGAATTACAATTATCTCTGTATGTAGTTGGTATCAATTACTAAGAAAAAACGAAATAAATCAGTTAAATTTTGAACATAGAAAAATGATAATTTATCACCATTCAGATAGACAAGTAACAAGAAGATCGATTTTTTTTGCGAATCAAAAAAGCCACATTTTATTACATTAAAGATCTTTTTTTCGAAGAAAAACAAGTTTAAAAACATCAACTTCTTTCTTTTAACGAATTAAGATGTGCGTTTTTTATGCTTAAAAACTTTCGATTTTCTATTATTATTTTGCCAGAATAGTATCTGTGATAGTAGTGGTGGTGTCAAGAAAAAGAGAGCAATATTATTGAACAGAGGCCATAATAGGATAACGTGTGTATCCGCCTGTCTCAGAAAGGCATAGGCCTTGATCTTAGAGTCTGGTACAGTTATGTTAGGTTGCATATCTTTAATGTGTTTCTTCTAAACTTTTAATATAAAAAGAATCATTTTTTTTGAACAGAAAATGTAAGAACACTAAGTATGCAGTACTGTATTCTTGCCACTTGAATATGAGAGATTTTTTTAATGATAATTTGAACTGGATATGACAATAGGTAACGATAAATTGTTCATTGGACATATATTGGTTTTGATATATGTATTCATTTTGCTGAGTTACTGTTCGCACTCTTATTATTATTATTATCATCTTACATAAATCTTTTTTTCCATTCTTATTGTCCCCCATTTCATGTTTATAATATTATGCTATGACAGGATATGATATAACCTCGTCAACTACGTCGGTTATATAGATGTTACTCTTTTTTTTTGTGTCTACTCGTGATAGATGCTTTTTGTATGGTCATGTCATATTGATATATATAACTTTTTTACGTGGACATAAAGACAGTCTTCTGCTTCCATTGAACTATGATGATAGTATTAGTATGCAAAAGCAAACACACAGGCCATCATAAACAAACCAGTTCTATTAAAAATATCTCTATTTGAATCTCTGCTATATCTTTAGATGTTTAGCCAAAACCATTTTAGATTATTTGAAAAAGATATTATGTTTGTCTTTTTAATTGTGATTTTCGTTTTGCTGAATATATTTAAGGAAAACAAAGACTAGTTTGTATGCTTGTTGTTGTAGTGAATAGAGGATAAAAATGAATTAATACAGATAATTTTATTATAGTTACTAGCAAACCTAATTTGATAGTTTACACACAGCTTGATGGAAAAAGAACAAAATAGATTGAAGAAATAGAAAAGTTTTCAATACAAAATGAATTTTACAATAAAATGAATCCGAATAGATAATAGCAGAAAAATGTTGTCCAAGTGCATTAATAATATAACATAGTTCAATGACAAATATGAAGATATTTTTTCTTTTCTTGCTTTGATACTTGTCTTAGTTGTAATTCTATTAATAGCTATAACAATCGAAATTCCAATAAAATGTTTTTTTATTTCTTTTCATTCCTACAAAATGCTCTGTTGTGAGTTTTGAAATTCTACTAGTAGCTGTAGTTGAGATAGTAAGAATATTATTGTTTTCGGAAATAATCAAATTCAAATAAATATTGTAGAGAAAAAAGATTTTATTTTTTTTAATAAGATAAAAAGATACTGAAACACCTACTGCAATTATTAGTAAACAACGACTCATAATAATACAGTTTAGTATAGTTTTTGCAAACAAGAAAGAATTTTCCAATGGTTTTTTTTTGTATTGAGATGTCTGTTGGTTTATATTTATAGAATAATAAAATCGAGTTCTAGTTGTTATAGTGTGTTTTGTTATAAATAGAAAGCTAAAATCATAAGTGATGTCTTTAAAGCTCTTGTTGACCGTACTCAATAAAAAAAACAAAGGTTGACAATTCTTGTTTATAAAATTATAATAAACTGTATTATTATGATTCATTCTTAACTACAAACACCTTTATCTACAAATAGATGATTATGTTTAATGTTTATTCTTGCAAAACTGTTAATCCGATTCTGATGAGAATGTTATAGCTGATTGTTATTATATCTCTTTTGACAATTAATCAATATATTCAAAAAAAAAATAATCGTTAATTAATTGCGATATGTCAAGAACAATAATGTTAGAATTTTCGAGATAAAAACTATTGGGACAATTTTTTTTGTTTTTGAAGGCAAGAAAAACAACATTTTGATGATGTTGTCTTTAAAAATGTTTTCAGTATTTCTATGGTATGATATCTGTTAAAAAACTTTGGAATGAATATTTACTGTCTGATTAGTTTGAATCACTAAGAAAGCAGACATAACCATTTTGTTCTTCATGGTCTTATAAAATCTATCTTATTTTATTAGAGAAACTGTTTTAATCCACAATAACTTTGGCGATAAATATACTATTTTAAGAAATGGATTGTACTGTTTTCATTTTGATCAAGTTCAAGAACAATGACACGATATGGGTTATTTTACAAAAAATAAATCATATACTCTTTCTTGAATTTAATGTCAACCACGATTGCTACGATAAATACTAGATCCTAGGATCATTCATTGCAGGACTATTCGTCAGAGGTGTGTGTGAATGTGGGATAAAGGTGTGAGTATGGTTGTGGATCTTTCGTATACTCATACTGACATTTAACCCACATCTGTATAAAATGTTTTACTCAGTTGATACATTTTTCCTCTGAATAAATTATAGGCATGAATTATGGGAATTTAGTTTTAAAGAATTGAACAGATAAAGTGACATTCCAATTGTCGATTTCATAGGGTATTAACTTATTTGTTGACTTGATGGATTGCTTTTAATAAATAACTTTAACAATGTTCTTTTGCCGTTGAATAAATGAGAAACTTTAATTGCCCGTCTCTTCCTACATTGAGATGAATTTACAAATAAAGCATGTTGTGCTTGTGTACAGAAATATTTCCAACAGTTTTATAAATTGAATGGTGTGTCAATAAAAAAAAAATTCGCTGAATCATACAGACTTGAAGAGAATTGTAAAAGAAACATCTAAAGCATGCTTCGCTTATTCCAAAACAAGGGAACTTGGATGTAATTGGTGTGTGTGTATGGGATCCTATGGATATGTCTATACGTCTTCTGTTCACTTTCATCGTCTTGCATCCATACTCAGATTCAGGCCCACACATTACTTACACCTTCATTCTTTTGTTTAACAATAGGGAGAACATGTTTTCGATTATTAGTTTTACGATTCTCTGCAAATTAGTGTGCTTTAAAGACTTTTTTTAATAGGTGTACAATGCTTTTGAAGAAACCGTTAAAAATAGTTTTGCACACAATTGTATTATTTCTTCATTTGTATACTCATATAAATGTATGAAGAGACAGGCAATTAAAGTTTTTTGTTTGTTCAACGAAAAATAAAATTGTCAAACATTTTGTCAAAAGCAATGCATTAATTCGACAAATACATCATACTATATAAGATGGATAATTTGAATGTCATTTTATTTGTTTTTATTTTTTTCGATTTTTTTTTTATATTAGATTCCCATAGTTAGTACTTATAATTTATTCAGTCAGAAAATGCATCGAGTTAATGGAGCATATTTTGCAAGACGAGCCGAAACCAAATTGGAAGATCTTGAGTCTATACCAAGTGAGACATCACCAGAAAGGTTTGTTCGGTATTGCTAACATTCAAATGAATAATGTTTTAAATTTTTTTATATATTTTGGATGATGCAGACCACAGCGATGCGGAATGATTCTATTGATTCTCTGCAGTTCTTGCTTGTGCCTTATGATCGCAGCAGCACTGGGTATGACTATAGCAATACTTCTGAAAAATGGTAATAAAGAATCAAATAGTAGTATTACGACCGTTACAACGGTGAATCAAGGTTAGTAAATGATTAGAACATTGAACTGTGCTTCGGAATTTTTTCTTTTTTGAAATGCATGTCGAACGAAAACAGGCTAATTTGTTGTGAACTATCTCTGTTATCTTAACATAGAAGTAAAAACGCAAGATAATTGTCGCATTTCACTTACTTTGATTTGCTCTATCTAAGTGTACAAATCAAACTTTGTTTGGTCGATGTCATATTTATATTCGACCAATCTATAAACGGCAATAAATAAGAAAAAGTGAAGTACTTTAC